TTTTTTTTTTTTTTTTTTTTTTTTTTTTTTTTTTTTTTTTTTTTTTTCTCTCTACTGTAATACAAAGCCATTCTACATGGATGATATCCCATATGAAGTATATGAGATACTAGACTGTAGATCCACAAAATACAAGCATGTTTTCTTGAGGCAGGAAACTTTATTTCAACAGCATACTCACTACGTTGTTAACCAAGGGTAAAACCTCCTCACGGTTGAGCCTGACTGTTATGTTCGAGCTCGTAATCGAACTGCGAAACCCAAACTACGGTCTGAGTGTTTTCCCAAGTCGGCCACAAAAGGGAAACCTGATTTAAAACGGTTTAACAGATGACACAATGTACACATAAGTAAGTGTTTAATTGGTGTTTAGTGTTTAAATTGTTACTTGGGTTATGGTTGTAACACTATTTTAGTTGAAATGAAATATCAACTCATAACTTATGACCACGTTATTCAAATATAATTACTTTGTTAGATCATGAATATTATCAAAAGTATAAATATGTATATCTAAACTATATTATCAACTTAACTCGTAATATTATGAAAGATTAGATCAAACAATACAAAACTTTAAACTTTAAAAGATAAAACAGGATAGAAAATTTATAATTTGTTATTGATAATGTGATTAATAGGGACAAATCTCTTGCTATTCTCATTCCTTCGATGTAACATTTTCTTCAGTTATTTGGATAAATAATTATCAGAAATAATCCACAGCAATTTTAACAAACTCCAATCGAAGTATCTCAACCAACGTTGTTATAAATTTATATACAGGTCAATAACGGTTTTCAACCGTTTTTTTTAAAATAAGAGACACAAAACCCCAAATAGAACAAAAAATAATTATATACAGTACAGTATAGGTAATTATAAAGTATGTTGTATTATGACGCAATTTCAAGTCTACAAATTTCGGACTTCCTGATGATTTACATATTCTTTCAACATATTGCATAAATATGTAAGTATGTAGAAGTATTATGTACATCGTATCATTGAAGTACATACTGACGTACATAAATTAGAGATATTTAATTCTATTCGGAGTAAAATATATAATGTACCGAAGAATTTTAAAGTTTTAATTATTTTTAAATACTCAATGTCTGAAACATTTGTATGAATAACTCCGGAACAGTGTAATATTTATTAACCCGATATTCAATTATAAATATTATATTTGCATTAAAATAACCTTGTAATTATAACGTGACTAACTTACATAAACTAGTTTCAAAAATTTATTATTTTAACTTTCTTTGCCATCATTATAGAATAGAATAAATATAATACATCGTCTGATTTGATTCCGTAACTAAAATATGTCAAAATATTATTAAATTTATTCATAATCTTCTGCTGGTGCAAATAATGGTAAATCTTTAATTCTTTGTCTTTTTGTTTTTTTCTTATTATTATTTGAATTATCATCAGGATTTGAACGTTTTTTACTTTTGGTGGGTTGATTTTTATCTGTTTTCTTTATTTCTTCTTCATCATCTTCATCTATTTCTTCTGCTTCAAATTCTGAATCTGACAATTCATCATCTTCATTTATATTAAATATGTCAAGTTCTTCGTCATCTTCATCATCTTCATCTATTTCATCATCATTTGCATCTTCTCCACCTAATGGCATATCGAATTCATTGATTTCTTCTGATTGTAAAGGACCTTCACCATCATCAAATTCATCATCTTCATCTTCATCTTTTACTTCTTCATCATCATCATCTAAATCTGAAAAATCATCTTCATCAAAATCTGAAAATCCTCCATCTGATAAATCATCTTCAACATCTGGTCTAGATTTAACAAGAGCATTCCATACTTCATCATCACCCATTCCATTTTCATCTTCTTCTTGATCATCATCTATGTCAACGTCTTCATCAATCTCACCAGTTTCCTTCTTATTTTTTAATTTATTAACTTTTGTTGTAAAATATTGATGAAAAAATTTTTCATCAGCTTTTATATCATTTATATTTTTATTAACCCAATTTTCTGTATTTACTGGTAAATCTTTATTTAAAAAATTTGTTGATTTAACTAATAAATTTCCTGTATGAATACCACCTAATGGTTGCATAATTGATGAACCTTTTATTTGTGGTTTTAATTTAGCATTTTTATAAACAAATCTATCAAGAAAATGTGATAAGGTATATAATCCTAAATCTGGTTTTTGTTGTTGTTGTGAAGTGTTGTCGTTGTCTATAAATGATTGTGCATATATTTCTACAGTTGGATGATAGTGTTCTAAAAATAAATTAATTTCCCATAATGATGATTTATTTGCATTTGCAAATTTTGGATCTCTCTTCTTAGGATCATATTCTTCTTCTTCTTTAAGTGTTGTGATGGTGGAGTCTGTGTTTTCAATAGTTTTAGTTTCTGATTCAACAGTTGTTTTATCAATTTCATCAGGTCTTGAATTTATATCAATTAATAAATCACTAATTTCAGGTATAGTTTTTGATAATTCATTTAATAAATATAACATACCAGCAATAGCACCAATATTTAACCAATGAGCAATAACTTGTAAAATTCTTTTAACAAAAGCTAAAATTCTTGGAATATTTGATTTATCATTTTTTAAAGATTTATATAATAAATTTAAATATATACCTTGTTTTGAAGTCATAACTAATCTTGAATCTAATAATGATTCATATAATGTTTTATAATATCTATCTGAATTCAAATTTTGTTGAGTTACAATATGATTGATTAAAATTAATGCTTGTATAGCAGTATTAAAATTTGAACTATGAGTAATTTTAAATAATGTATTTAAATGTTGTTGAAAAATTTCATTTGGTAAATTTGAGAATGGAAAAGAACGATTTAAACCAGTTAATAAAGCAGAAAACATTTTTGAATTTTTTTCTTCAATAATTTCTTGATCTGATTTATCTTGTTTTTTTATTGATTTACCACCTTTTTTACCCTTTTTAAAATTTTTTCTATTATTTTTTCTACCTTTTTCACTTTCTCCTATAGTTTTATCTTTTAATTCTTCTTTAATTAATGTATTTGATTCAATTAATACTTTTTCAAATAATGCAAAATAAGTTTTAACTAATGAATTAGCTAATTCTTCTTCTTTTCTTGTTATAATTGTTTGATTTAATGTTAAAACTCCATAATATTTTGAATGATCATCATTATTACTTTTGAAAATTACATCAATTACAGAATCAGTTATAATTTTTTTCATTGCTGGATGTTCTTGTTCTAATTGTAATATTAAATATGATGCTTTTGCAGAAACTTTATTATCAGTATCACCTAATTTATTTACACCTAATTTTAAAAGATTAACTTCTTGTTCAGGTTTTGATTTTAATAAATCAAATACATGATTTAATGCATTCATTCTAACATGAACAATTGGATCTTGTAATAATTTTTCTAATATAACAATTAATTTAAAATATGCCTTTTTTAAATGATCTTCAAATAAATATACTGCTAATTGACCATCCTGCGCATCTTTTGTTAAAGGTTGTTTATCAAATGCTAATAATTTTCTATCAGGTAATAAACCATTTAATAATAAATCTTTAAATGCATTAATAGATTGTAATGCAGCATTTCTTGATTTTTTATCACAATATCCAACCAAGGTATCTAAAGCTTTTAAATTATGTAAAGGAGCTTCTTGAATTAATAAAGTTAATGCAGAAATTTTATCATTTAAAGTACCATCACTTAAAATTTGTGATAAAAATTTTCTTTGTGAAGAATCTGATGAAAATTCTTTTAAATAAGTCTTGTTATCTTTATCTAATGTTGAAGTAGCTTTTTCCAATAATCTTTCTCTTGCAAATCTATCTAATTTTGGTGGTTGTTCTGATGGTATTTGATATATATTATACCATTCTAATTGATTAGGAACTATTAATTTATCACTTGATACTGTTGTAAAATCAGTTATTTCATCTTCATTTGATGATATCGTTGGTTTTTTAGGTTTGTCTTTTTCGATTTTAGCTTCTTTTACTATTACTTCATCATCTTTATTGTTTGTGTTTGAGGGATTGTCGTATACAAGGTCAGGTACTTCTTCTTCTTCTTCTTCTTCTTCTTCCTCCTCATCCTCTAATTCTTCATCTGATTCTGAGAATGATGTGTATTCTTCTTCCTCATTTGCATCAATTTCTTCCTCAGCCTCTTCTTCAGCTACTTCTTCTCCATCTACTTCATCTTCATCTTCTAATTCTTCTTCATCCACTATTACTGCTTCTCCATTACCCAATCCAATATCTTTCATAAACTTACTCAAATCACCATTAAGAGAAGAATCAACTTTAGAATTTGTCTCATCATCATCATTTATTTCAATTTCACTTTGATCATCATCATTTTCATCTAAATCTTCTAATAATTTTAAATCTTCTTCTGTAGCACCCAATTCTAATGCTTCTCGACGTAGTATTTCATCAGTTACTTTATTTTGTTTTCGATTGTTTTTTGATATTGTTATGGAATCTTTATTTGATTTTGATTTAGATTTAGAGTTATTGGTTTTGGTAATGGTTGATTGATCTTTACTTGGTTCTTGTTGTTTTTTAATTTTTTGTTGTTCTTGTTTTTTCTCCTTTTTGTTTGGTTTCTGTTGACTTAGTTTATTTGTAATCTTATCTTTCAACCCTGATAAATTTAAGATCGAACTCATATTTTATGTGTGGTTGCAATTAGATTAATTGATTCAGCTCTTATTTGGTTGTAAAATAATTTTCTAGTTTAAAGAAGATGAGATTCAATTTTGTGTAACAATAATTCCTGAACTCCCTTGCACCTTGAAGTTTTGTCAATTGATTACCAAATTAGGAAGTCTACAAAAACTATGAATCTTATACAGATCCAAATTTAATACATCTTACATTTCAAATTTATCCGAAATATTTATAGCAAAAGAAAATTGTAAAGTTATGGGGAAAATGATATCAAAAAATTTTACCAAGGATACATGTCTTGATCTCATGGGTGAAAAGTAATGGGCAATGAAAGTTACAAACAATTCACACCATGGGGTAAATCAGCCATAGATCCTTCAACATCAACTATTGTTACAACTAAGACATCAGAATATATAGTTTCTAAAACTCCCATAGGAATAGGTTCATATTCAAAAGTTTATAAATGTCAAAATAAAACCACCAACAAAAACTATGCATGTAAAAAATACAAAAAATTATTAATTTATGGAATGGAAAATTCATTAATTAATGAATTTCAAATATTAAAAAACTTAACAAATTCAGATCCAAAATTAATAAATTTAATTGATTATTTTGAAACTAATGATAGTTTTTATTTAGTTACGGATTTAGCTAATGGTGGAGATTTATTTCAAAAAATTACTGAAAATGATTCAAAAAAATTAGATATTTCAACATCAAAACAAATAATTATACAATTAATTGATTGTTTAAATTTTTTGCATAAAAATAATATAATTCATAGAGATATAAAAACAGAAAATATATTTTTTAAATTTAAGAATTCAAATTCAATATTGCTAGGAGATTTTGGATTATCTAAAGTGATAAATCCAAATACTAAATTAAATGAAATATGCGGAACAATAAGTTATATGGCTCCTGAAATGTTAACTTCTCTAAATCAAGGTTATTCAAAAGAAATTGATATTTGGTCAATTGGTTGTGTTTTTTATTTTATGATTAGTGGTTATTTACCATTTGATTGTGAAACTGAAGAAGAAACTAAAGATGCTATAATTAATAAAAAATATTTATTTGAACCAAAAGAATATTGGATTGAATTTGATAATGATGTTAAAAATTTTATTGAATTATGTTTTGAATTGAATGTTGAAGAAAGAACTTTAAATAAATTGATGGATTCTTCATTTTTAAGATTCTCAAAGCCTTATTTAAATCATAAAGTTTCTGCTTCACTGGAAACAAATAGACCAAATATTTCATCAATTCAAAAACAACAAATTTTAAATATCTTATCCAATAAAACTTCATCAACTACCAAACCAAGCTCAAAATCAAGCTCAAATTCAATAAATTTTCATCAAGGAGAACTTTGTAAATCACCTGATTGTGTAACTGAATTAAATACTCCCTTAATGTCAATTGATAGTTCTAGAAATTCTTCATATTTCAAAGTTCCTCAATTTATTGATGAAAAATTCAAGAGTTGACAACTGACAGATCATACGCTTAGATAAGATTCTACAATTACCTTCAAACAAAATCCAAATTCTATGAATGTGTATATATATAATTATTATTTAACCTTATTAAACCCGTTATTAAAAAATGTTTCTTTTACTTCTTCCCTTCTGATTAATTCCGTATCAATATTTAGCTTTCATCATTACATGATTATACAATCTTTTTCATGAGCAGCATTACCATCATTATTATAATTTTTATCAATTGGTTTCTTTTTTAAATTTTTACTTAAATTTTTAACAAATTCTTTATTTTGAATTCGACTTAAAGATTTTTCATCACCATTTTCAGCAGCTTTTTTATACCATATTTGAGCTTCATCTAAATTTTTTATACATCCAATCCCTTTTTCATAAAAATTAGCTAATGCAAATTGAGCTTTTGAAAAATTACAATTAGCTGATCTTTTTGCCCATTCAAATGCTTCATTTTCATCTTTTGGTAAATAAGGTTCTGAACCAACTAAATACCATGCACACATTGATAACATTGAATTTGGATCTCCTGCTAATGCTGCTTGAGTATAATAATGAATTGATAAATTTGAATCTTGTGGTAATATTTCTCCAATTTCATAATGATGTCCTAATATTGCTGCTGATTGTGTATGACCTAATGCTGCTGCTTGTGAATATAATTCTAATGCATATTTTTTATCTTCAATTACAATATCTTCAAATCCATTATAATATAATTTTCCTAATTCATAAGGTGCAGCCGCAGTTAAATCAGTTGCAACATTAGTTGCTCTTGTTAACCATTTTATACCCATTTTTTTAGTATTCATATCTATTCCTAATCCCATTCTACCATAAAATGAATAAACTCCTAATTTATACATTGCTGCTGGATGATTTCTTGATGCAGCAATTTTTAAATATTCAACTGCTTTTCTTGCATCTCTTCCTGTACCTAAACCTTCTTCATAACAATATGAAGTTCTATAAGCACTTTCAACATGACCATGTTTTGCTGCAGCTTGAAATAATATAAATGCATCTTTATTATCAATTTTATCTAATGCTCCTGAACTATATGCATCACCTAATAAATATTGAGCTTCAACATAACCTTTATCTGATAATTTTTTTAAATAATATATAGCTTCTTTTAGTAATGCTTTTCTTAATTTTTTTTCATTTCCTTCAATAGATTCAACATTTGATAAATCTATATTATTACTAGCAGATTTTTTTTTCATTGGTGAATTTTCAATTGATCTTTGTGGAGTATTATTACCTGAAGATTGTGAAGATGTAGTTGAATTAGAATTTGTTTCAATAGCTAATAATAAAGCCGTTTGTAACATATATTGAGCATATTGAAACAAGACATTTGGATCATTTGATTTTTTAGCATTTTTACGATATAATTCTAAAGTTTTTATTCTTGGCATTAAAGTTGATGAATTTGATCCTAAATACAGTTGAATTACATTTTGATTAAAATCAATCATTGAACTATTATCGTTTCTATCATAAAAAAATGAAGAGGTTGAAGAAACTGATCTATTATGACCATATTTTGATACTGATGGTGTAGTTAAATTTGTATCTGATTTTGTAAATAATTGATTATCTATATTATTATTGGTAATGTTGTTATTATTATTATTTAAATTCAAATTTACAACAGATGATGTAGTTGATAAAGGATTTGAAGGTGGTGAGGCAACAACACTGTCTTTTGATGCAAAAGCTGCAGGAGGTGTAGATGAAGTATATACCGGATAAGGAGCAGATGTTTGTGGAAATGCAGTTGTTTTAGGTGATTTGATTACTCCAAGTTTAGGAGAATCCTTGTATTGTTGTTGTTGTTGTGTAAAATATTGTTGATTATTGGGAGATGTTTGTGCTTGAAATTGTGGAGATTGTTGTGGTATAGTTGATTGTTGTGAAGGTTGTTGATTTGGTAAATTTAGATGAGGGACCAAGTGTTCTGGTAAACTTGAAACTCTTGGAGTTTGATGTCCATTGCCATTATTCGTGGCGAGGTTATAATTACCATTACCGTTGCCATTATTGTAATTGCTGCCATTGTTACTATTACTTAGTAAGCTTCTATAAGGTTGATGAGTTTGTTGAGTTTGTGGCGGCGGTGGTGGTTGTTGTTGTTGTTGTTGTTGTTGATGTTGTAAATGCTGTTGTGGATGTTGTTGAGAATGTGATTGTTGTAGAAATTGTTGCAGTTGTTGTTGTGGTAATATATAACTTTTATTAAGATTTGAAGGTATATGTAAATCCTCCAAACCACTTGTTACTTCAGTCATACTTGGAGAACTATCAGATCTATCACTTTGACTATTTTGATTATAATCCAGTAAAGGATATGGGGTGATATTTGATGAATTGTTACTATTTGATGATACTTGACGATAAGGATGAGAGTGTTGCTGTTGCTGTTGTTGCTGATGTTGTTGTGGTGGTGCTGTTGGTAGTGGTTGCTGTTGTTGTTGTTGGTTGTAGATATTTGATGAAGTTGTATTCATAATGCAATTAATAAAAAAATTTTCCTTTCGAAGGTGGTAAATATATATATGAATATATAACTTAAAACTATAGTAATATATGAATGAGTAAACGAATATGTATAATTAAATTAGTGTTTCATTTAAAAGTTTCTTCTATTAAACAAAATTCTTCTATTAATTCTTAATTGAAACAATGGAATGTTATATCGTCAAAGGATAAATGATTAAATTGGTGTGGTTGTTAATGTAAGTCTGAATATATTAAAGCGAATGATAAGGCCTTACGAAGTTTCTATTTTTAACAATGAGAATACTTCCTTTCCTTCTTATTAAATTTAATTAATAAGAAAGTGACTTTGAATGATAAGTTATTTGATGTTTTAACAAATTATAATAAAAAAAGAAGAAAACAAAATTTGAATTTTTGTTGAAAACTTAAAAAAAAAAAAAATATTTTTTATTTTATTTTTATTTTTAATTTTCTACTGTTTACCATAGAATGCTACAATTACCTACTACTACAACCACTGCTTGCTCTTCTTTTTGAGAGTAATTGTAGTGGCTGTACTCTGTATTGAATTGAGAGTTCAAACAGAGCTGTTTATACCACTGCGATCTATATTGGATCAATCAAATTATACAATAATCTTATTCTATTCTTGGTACTAATTACCTCGAAATTAGTTCGTATTGGGCTATACAAAAAGAAATTACTTTTTGTGTGTAAATAATCATATTTTTTTGTTATGGTAAATCTTACATTAGAAATAAGCCAGTAAATTACCACAATTAATCAATCTACTTTTAGTGAAAATAAATCTTTATCTATTGGTCAATTGCAGATGCATCGGATCAACCACACTAATAAGTTTACTTTCATGTAAAATATGTAATTTTTTTGGATTTTAACGAACAAGATCAACAGTCCAGTAATAAAATTAGAATTCAATACGTCATACTATTTTATGTAAAATAAGGTAAGTATTTACATCTCGTAAACTTAAAATTACTATTCTTTTGATCCCAATAAAAATATACACTATTTTACATACAAACACGGCACTCTTTCTTTTTCTCTCCCTCTCTTTCATCTATTGATGCCGTGTTCCAGTTAGAAGAGACTTTCGAAAGTAGAGAGGAGTCGTTTTTAAGTAGTATCAACTGTAATAAACCGAGTACTACCAAATGTGATGAAAATGCGTTTTACAAAAATTTTTTAGACGTGTCATTTCTTATAATTACATGTTATTGATCTTTATTGTTTTTGTTTTAAGACAATCATTTCTTCTACTTAATTTCTATTTACTTACTATTAATAGGTTATAATCGTGAAAGGGTTCTCCCTCGATCTAAGTTTTAGGATAAAACCGCACTAATTATAACTCCTTCTATCTCGACTTAAAGGGTTCTTGCTTAAAAACGAAAACTACTTCTTGCGAAGACATACTCAAAAGTCTTTTTAATATGTCAATTATGTTAAACTCTAATTCAATTTCACCAAAATTACACCAATGCATTATCGGTTAGTTTTTTTTGCAGCTATTGAGTAATCAATTTGCCGTTTAATCCATGTGGTATAAATTTTGAGATTTACCATCTACATTTTACATTTACTTTCACACTTAATAAAAATAATACGAGAGAAGCAATGGAAGATTTAAAACAGAAATAAAAACCTGAAATTCGGCAATTGATTAAAAAAATTGATATCAAAACCCATTTTTTTTGAAATTCGAGCGTCTAATGCAATTTTCGGGTATTCATCTAGTCGAAAATGGCAAAACTACCCTATAAAAAAGATCAAAAAGTGTGGAATTTGCGTTTTTGTACCTTACACTTTAATAAACCCTATAATTTACGAAACTAATCACAAAAATATTTTCTATTATACCATTTCCGTTTTTTTATACCTAATTACCATTCTTGCTGAGTGTATGTAGACTTGTAAATTTGATTGACAAGCTGCTGGTTATACCCTAATTATATTTTGAATCTTCTATAATTCACAAATTAATTCTCGAAAAAAATAATTTGAAATTTGAAAATAATTATGCAAGCTCAAAACAACAACTGAAAATTGTCTTGACATTAGACCACATTAAATCATGTATCTTTTTAAGCATGATATTAAGACTGAGGTTTAGTATATTAGCAAAATATCTATTCAATTGACTAATATTTTTTGATTCAGTTTCATAATTATTTTCTCCATCTGGTGTAATACTTGAAGAATCTAAAAATAGATCTTTACTAATAAATAAATTCTTTACTGCACAAGTTTTGTGTAACTAATTTAAGATTTTTTCTTCTTCTAAATCTCTCGTATATATTTTTCATACTCTGAAACATGTGAATAATTTAATTTGCAGCAAAATATGGAAAATTTCAATCCAATGTAATCAGAAGAACTAATTGATGGAGCTAGATGTATCATGATTTAAGATGTTTTTGAAAAACAGATGTAACTTAAACAAGCCAATTGTATTGAAACAGCAAAAAAAAAAACCTTTTTTACATTCTTCTGACACATTAATCTTCATTATAATTCTTTTTTTTTTTTCAAAACTAATTGTTTATTAAATCAGTGGTCTAGCTTGCTAAACAGTAAAGAAATAAACTTAATCTAAAGAGGAAAGAACTGTATACTATATACCATAATTCTTAATAAAATTTATTTCTCTTTCTTCATACTTTGCATCTAATTTTTTCATTGAAAGTTCAGATTCTGTCCAAGCATTTTTAATAACTTTTGAAGTCAATTTTTCTAATGCTAATTTATATTTAAAATTAAATTCATTTTTTAAAGAAACAATATTTGGATCAATTTGAGTAAATGGAGCATCTAAACATTTCCATTGTGGTTTTATAATATTTTCAATCAAATTTTTAATTGGTTGCTTTATTTCTCTTGAAGGAGTTGGTACATAATGTAGTTTTATATTATTGAATTCACAAAAATTTTGAAATTCAATTGTTTTATGCAGAATATGTCCATTTAATATTATACCAATTGGTGGTTTATCTTTACCAGCATCTAATAATCTTAAAAAATGATTTCTAAATAAATTCATCATTAATTCAGGAGTAATCCGACCAGAATTTGTAACACCATATACCCAATTTTTAGGATTATTTTTTATCCAATTTAAATTAAATTCTTCTCCTTTATATATTATAACTGGTGGCAAAATTTTACCACTTAAAGACACTATCATAATTGTACTTAATAAATCCCATTTTTGAAATTTTGAGTTCGAGGTTTCTTCTTCATCAACATATTTTGTTTGTAATTTCATTAAACCACGAGTTAAATCAAAACATGTTTCATCTAAGTTATATATTCTATTTTCTGGTACTTCATTTTCAACGATCCAATCCATTAAATTTAGATGCCATTGATCGATAAATTCACTCATATCTAATTTTTCTATATCATCTAGTCTGTATTTCCATTCCATTCTTTCGAAATAGTCAAGATCTGGTTGACCGAGTCTGATTCTATTCTGTGTAGATAACATTTGTGCTAAATATGGAAAGGTCTTGAAAAAAAGTTTTATGTCATCCATTTTTATTTCGCCATTTGGAAATTTAAATTTATAAAGAGATTCAGCATTTTGTCTTATAAACTCTCTTGAACAATATATTTGATTGTCTATTATACCTTTACAAATCCATTTTTTTAATTCTATTTGCATTTCACGAGTTAAAGCCAGTTGCTTAGGAGGTGGCATTGGTTTTGTTGAAGGTTTGTTTATTCTACGTCTAATAGTATCACTAGGTATATTGAATTTTCTGCTTAATTCATTATAAGAAATTCGTTTACCAGATTGTACACTTTCTCTGTATGTTTTAAGTGCTTCTTGTAAATCCTCTTCTGTATAACGAACTTTCAGCATGATTGATATAAAATAATGAACTTTATATGTTTTAATTAAATTGTTTGATATATCTCAAGTTGAAATCTTAATAGAATTTGAATTTGATAATGACAAATTTGAGCTAAAATTGATGCAGTAGAATACTGGTTTTAATTTTTACGTTTGTTTACCTTTACAAAATTTATAAAAATACAGACGCGTAGTATATAATTGACGCGTCTGTAAATATATCATCGATTAGTTCCTTCTGAAATTAAAGACAAATACAATTGAATGGACAATCTTCCATTTAATCCATGTGGTATAGATATTTAGATTTACAATTTACTCTTACATTTACACTGAACAACTAGTATAATTCGAGACAAGCAATGGAAGATATGAAATAGAAAATGAAAATGAAACTCGGCAATAAAAAACAAAGTTTATTAGTTTCAAAACCTATTCTTCCATAAGCTCAATCGTCTAAAGCAATTGAATAAATAAGCTCTTGATCATCTTTGAGTAGTCTTAATAGCAAATTCAAAATTCAAAAAAAGTGTGAAAATTGCATATAACCTAGCTCTTAATAAACCCTATAAAGTATGGAAAGAATGATAAAATAAAATGTATGTATCTACCTTTTAACTGAGGTTGATAATTTAGCTGATCATCAATTACTTTTTTGAATTTGTTTACTGAGTGGAAAATAGATGACTTAACTTGATTACAATTCTAATGCTCTTATCTCAAGTTTTAGAAATTATTGAATAATTGAAGTGAAAATTGTTATTATGCAAGATTAAACAATAATTGTTGATTTGCTGCTAAGACCACATCAGTTCAAAAACATGATTCATTAGTTGATGTTTGATCAAATTAATTATTCCTTCAGCATAATTGAAATAAAATCTAAAAATATCTCTTTAATAATTCATCATATTCACAATCCCGCCTTTTTATTATCTTCTCTTCCTCTTCTTTTTTGATTTCTTCCGAAGTATGTATATTTTTGAAACATGGGAACTCAATTTGATTCAATAGCTGCAAAATCTGAAAATCTCAATATAATGTAATGGAAGGATCATAAAGTTTTGAATATATTCAAAGAACTGTAATTAAAACGAAACAATTGTATTCACAATTATTCATTACCTCTCAAAAAGCCCCCTCCTGGTACTTTTTTCCCAATTCTACGGACCAAATAATCGATTTATGAAAAAACTTGCGATACAAAATCTTCATCCAATGTCTTTTTCAAACATTTCATTGAAAGTCCGGATTTTTCCCATGCATTCTGAATAATTTTTGGTGTTAATTTTTCCAATGCTAATTTATAATTATAATTAAATTGAATTTTTAAATTAACAAAACTTGGTGCACTTTCAATATTTATGGGTTTTGTTAAACCTTTCCACTGTGGTTTTATTTTTTTTTCAATTAAATTTTTAATTGGTTGTTTTAGATTTCTTGATGGAGTTGGTACATAATGTAATTTTATATTATTTAATTCACAAAAATTTTGAAATTCAATAGTTTTATGCAGTATATTTCCATTTAGGACTAATCCTATTGGTGGTCTATCTTTACCAGCATCTAATGCTTTTAAAAAATAATCTTTAAATAAACCCATAATTAATTCAGGTGTAATCCAACCAGTATTTGTTACTCCATATAACCAATTTTTAGGATTATTTTTTATCCAATTTAAATTTAATTCTTCTCCTTTATATATTATAACTGGTGGTAAAATTTCACCACTTAATGATATTATCATTATAGTACTTAATAAATCCCATTTTGTATATCTTGATTTCGAAAATTCTTCTTCATCAATATATTTCGTTTGTAATTTGTGTAACCCAGGATTCAAATCAAAACATGTTTCATCTAAGTTATATATTCTATTTTCTGGTATTTCATTTTCAATTATCCAATCTATTAATCTTAGATGCCATCTATTGACAAATCCATTCATATTTACTCCCCGTCTGGGTTTATCCCGAAAACTATAACGAGGTTCAAGAAATTTTTCTAATTTTTCTATATAGTCAAGTTCTGATTGTCCCAATCTAATTCTATTTTGTTCAGATAATCTTCTTTTTAAATATGAATTGTCTTCAAAAAAAAAATTAATGTCATCTAAGGTTATTTTACCATTTGGAAATTCACGTTTATAAATATATTCAGCATTTTGTCTAATAAATTCTCTTGAACAATATATTTGATTTTGTAAAATATCATTATGAATCCAATATGTCAATTCGCTTTCCATTTCAGGAGTTAAAACCTTTTGTTTAGGAGGTAAAATTGGGTATTTCGGAGGTTTCGTTATACGACTTCTAATTGTACCACCAGGTATATTGAATCTTTCTCCTAATTTATTATAGGAGATTTTCTGACCAGAATTTAAACCTTCTTTATATATTCTGATTGCTTCTTGTAAATCTTTTTCTGAGTAACGAACTTTCGGCATGATTGATATGGGATAATGAAGCTGTTTGGTTTGAATGCTTGATTTATTGTTTCTAGTTGAAGTTGTAGATGAACTTGAATTTGATAAAGATAGGTTTGTTTGGAGCAAAAATTATTAAAAATTGTATTTGTTTACATTTTAAAATTAGAGTAGAAAAACAAAATAATTAATAAGACGCGCATTATAAATGTGTCTGAATTAGCGCGTTTGATATTTAATTATTTAAACCCTGGGTATGACATGATTGGAAATATACATAAATACTTCTATTAAGATTTTGATTATACATATACTGTCTGAAATGTCTATTAATTTGTTCTACGTACCTTTATCTTAAAAGTTTCGATGAAATTTTTTCTTTGATTTCGACAAAATATTATCACAAAGGGGATAAAATGCCAGCTTCTTCCCATGCACTTTGTATAATTGGTGGTGTTAATTTTTCTAATGCTAACTTATAATTATAAATAAAATCATTTTTATAATTTGAAAGATTTGGATCAATTTCATTAATTGGAGTTTTTAAACCTTGCCATTGTTTCTTTATTACGTTTTCAACTAAATTATTACATGGTTGAGCTATAGTTTTTGAAGGTGTAGGTACATAAAGTAATTGTATATTATTTTGTTTACAATAATCTTGAAATTCTATACTTTTGTGCAGAACATTTCCATTTAAAATTAATCCAATTGGTGGTTTATCTTTACCAGCATCCATTAATTTTGTTAAATGATTTTTTAACAATGTTAAAAGTAATTGAGATGTAGTCCAACCGGAATTTGTAGTACCATATAACCAATTTGTAGGGTTATTATTATTCTCATTAACATGATTTGAATTTATATTTTCTCTTTTATGTATTATGACTGGTGGTAAAATTTCACCACTTAAAGATATAATCAATATAGAAGTTAATAAATTCCATTTTTCATACCTTGATACAAAAACATCTTCTTCATCCACATATTTAGTTTGTAGTTGCAGTACACCATTAGTTATATCGAAACATATTTCTTCCAAATTATATATCCTATTTGCTGGTACATTATTTTTAAAAATCCAATCACTTACATAAAAATGCCATTGGTCAATTATTGGTTTCATAAATGTTTCATCAAAGTCTGGTAATAACCTAAAATAAGGATCATTTCTTTTTTCACGTATAGTTAAACTCCCTTTTGAACGACAATTTCGATCAGATAATTCACTCTTTAAAAAATAATCTCCTTCAATGAAAATTTTAATATCATCTTGTGTTACTTTACCATTTGGAAATTCACGTTTATAAATATATTCAGCATTTTGTCTTATAACTTCCTTTGAGCAATTAATTTCCTTGTGTATTATACCTTGATAAAGCCATTCTCTCAATTCATTTTGCATTGAAAGAGTTAAAATCAGTTGTTTGGGAGGTGGCCTTGGTTTTGTTGAAGGTTTATTTATTCGACTTCTAATAGTATGACTAGGTATATTAAATCTTTTACCTAATTTATTATAGGAAATTCGATTCCCAGACTCTAAACTTTCTTTGTATATTTTAATTACTTCTTGTAAATCTTCTTCTGTATACGCCATTTAATTTGTTAATCACTGTAATATTTAATGGAAATAATGAGGTTTCTTGTATAAGAAGAAAATGGTTGATGAAGTTGGTTAATGTATTGATTTATATAAGTAACTTTAGGCTATTTAAAGATGTTCGACCAAAATTATTTTGCAATTTAACTGAATTCGAACAATATTTACCGCCATACCTATAAATCAAATTGAATGTATTTTGGACCTAGAACATGCCTCTGGGCTAGGATGCGGATGGTACCGATGCTTGGTGGAAAGATATGACGATGTAATTGAGTCAGAGTATATTTAAGGTCATCCTACTTTCAACAAGTTGTATTACAACAAAATCAATAAAAGAAAAAGTAATTGTCAATCTACTATAGACATTATTTACCAACATTATACAATTGAAAGTTTCAACGAAGTTGAAGGAACTAATTAAAATGTCTGCATCAAGTATGCATGCACTGTTTCTTCCAATAAATTCTAAACAATTTTGCTTGTAAAGTAAAGTATTCATTTTAGCTAAATGTTCAAACAACTATATCATGAATTCAAGTAGTTAACGAGCAGTACCTACGCTCAACAGGTTATGAGCCAAATAGCACTAGACGTTAACTGAAAATTTTTATGTAGTCCAAGGGCTTGAACTATGAGTTCATAAAACCTCGACTCTCTCTTGAAGGAAAATGTAAAACTCGATGATATCAATTTAAACTCTTGGTTACATATTTAAGTAATAGTAAAGTCTAATCTCATTTGGATCACAACCAGTCGAGGGTCATTCACTGGAAGTAAATACTTGATTCATGCTTGTTGTTTGAGAAAGTTTAACATTCATTACCTGGTTAACTTTTGATTAAATCACTCATAGTAGTATGAATACTGAATTAATTGGTTTGAAAAGAGTAGTTCAACTTTCTTGAAAAAATTTTGATGAAAAATATCTCTCCTTATATAGTGTTTTTTATCGCTACCATAATCTTAAGCTTTTTCAAAACTTAACAATAATTACACAATAATGTTTATAATTCCGTCAATCAAATAGAACATGAATTAATTCAAACCAATTTACCTCCAATATCCATAAAAAGTAACATACAGTGATCAATTGAGTTAAAAAATGTCCAAAAATTTAATAAAGATAATAAAACCATCATCATTAAAATCCCTAATATCATCGAATTCAAAAACAAAGCAAAGAATTATCCCCATTGATTCAACATGGTATATGCCAAATACTCCTAAAAATGCATTTGAAGAATATAAACAGCAACATTTACCTAATGCTAAATTTTTTGATTTAGATAAATATGTTAGAGATTCAGCATATCCTCATATGTTACCAACTCAAACTATAATAAATCAAGCTTATAAAGATTTAAATATACATAAAAATGATATTTTAGTTGTATATGATCAAATTGGGAATTTTTCTTCTCCTCGTTGTGCATTTACTTTTAAATTGGGTGGTCATGAAAATGTTAATTTATTAGATAATTTTAATACTTATCAAACTGAAGGTTATGAAATTACATCAGAAATAAAAGAAGAAAAAGAACCGCAAAAAGATGAACCAGTAATAGATGAACCAATTGAATCAAATGAAATTGAAAAATATGAAGAAAATTATAATAATGAAGTCATTGAATATGAAGATATAATTGCGTTATTAGAAAATGATCAAATTCAAAATTATTTAGTAATTGATGCAAGATCAAATGATAGATTTACTGGAGCTTCACCAGAACCAAGACCAGGTTTAAGTTCTGGTCATATTCCCACGGCAAAAAATTTACCATTTACTAAATTATTAGATTCTTCCAAACAAAATCAATACAAGACAAAAGAAGAAATTATAAAAGAATTAGAAACTATAGATATTAATATAAATAACTTACAAAAAGATTATCCAAATGGTATTATAGTAATGTGTGGAACTGGAGTTACTGCTTGTATTTTAAAATTAGCTTTTGAATCAATTGTGGAGTTGGATGTACCAATTAAATTATATGATGGTAGTTGGACTGAATGGGCAATGAGAGCTCCTGATAAATATATAGTAAAAGATGTTTAGGAATTTAAAATTTGAACATTAATAGGTAAAATATTTATACCCTCAATCAACTTAAAAGTTACCGGTCAGGGATCTTGAGTAACTCAGAGCCACTCTAACGCAAACAAAATTCTTCGTTGTTATTATATATATTCGTTCATTAAATTAAAATTATTTAGGTTCAGGTATTGATAAATATTTATATTTCTTTTTTGTAATATCATATAAATCATTTAATGCAGCATCATCAACAAACCAACTTACTCTACCAGCAGCACCTTCATTTACAATAGAAGAAGGTAAACCCTTTTCTGGTCTTTCCATTATAGTTTTTATAATTGGAGCTTTTGTTAAACCTTCAACAACGAAAGCAACTCTTGATGCATGACATATTACAGGTATGGTTAAAGTTATTCTATTTTTGGGACCACTTGGAGCATTTTCAATTGGTATACACCAAGCTAATTTTTCTCTTAAACTTTCACCATGATTGGGGAATAATGAAGCAATATGACCATCTGGCGCACAACCTAATAATAATAAATCAAACATTGGTAATTTTACAGAATCCTTTTTAGCAAAATTTTGAATTAACTGTTTTTCATAATCATCTGCAGCTTCTTGAGGATCTTCAATGAGGGTTTCATCAATGTGGAAAATTTTTGGTTTTTTATCTCCCTTTATATGATCAAAAATTTCAAGCTTAGCTTGACCATAATTTGAATCAGGGCTATTAAACGGTACTAATCTTTCATCAGCAAAATAAATATCCCATTTATCCCATTCTATATAATCTTGTTTACTTAATAAACCTTGATTTAATATTTTAATTAATGATCCTCCACTTATTGCAATTTTAAATCTTATTTCTTGCTTTTTTAAGATCTTTTTTTCTTTTTTAATTTTGTTGTTCTTTTCTATATTGTTGGTGGTTGCTGATGTTGATGATGATATTGATGATGAAGTATTAGTGTTTGGGTTTAAATTACTTGTATTTGAAGATGATGATTTGTTATTATTAAAGTTTAATCCACTTTGACTATGACTTGGTGAGTGATTTGGAGTATTATTTATTGAATTTATATTACTATTTGAATTATGATTTGATGAACCATTATTATTTAGATTATTATTACCATTTGATTGATTTAAAACTGATATAGAACTATTTGTTTTATTAATTGATGGTCTTTTCAATTGACCTGATTTAATTAATTCAATTTGTTTTTGATCTGTTGTATTATATAAAGTTTGATTTTGAGCTGATATAACTAAATCAGCAACAGCATCAGCAACTCCTAAAAATTCAGGAAATGAATAAATTAAAGGGACAGTAGTTGTCATTTTTCAGGAATTGTTGAATATATGGTTATAGATGTATAAGCTCCAAACTGATTCTACGATTTGATGTATATAATAACTCCTTGTTAAAAATTAAATAAATGATATTGACAAACAGACCAAAATTTTTAAAATGTTTTTTTTTTGTAATATTAAAAAATGAAATAAAATGCTAGATTAGTTTATCAAATTTCGATTGATTAATTGATTGATTATGGTGTTGTATTTTCACGTATGTAGTAGTTGTTTAGTATGTGATGTATCTATTTGATCTTAGTATATGAAGTTGTTCGATTGAATGAGTAATATAAATTGTATTTTTTATCAAGAGTTATGTATGTAAGCTTTTAATATTAAATATATTTTTTTTTGCTGTACTTAAAAATTTTGATCACATTTTAAACATTCTTTAAGTTAACTATGGAACAATTACTATTAACAATACAATACATTAAAAAAAAAGGGACAAATAGAAATTAATAAATGATCTACTAACAAAATAATTAAAATTTATATAGTATTAGAAGTATAATAAAACGTATTTATTTACATTATTCAATTGTACTAGTATATATCAACAGAAGAACAACCATGTAAATACCTTTAACCAATATTGAGTGGTTGTTTTATATTCATTATATCTTAACGATCTTGATGGAAAAAATATTAAGTTTCTAGATTAAAATTGTTTATCTAATTTGTTTAAAAAAATAATTTGTATTAGAAAGTAGCAATTATAATATGTACATTAACTTAGACTAATAAGAAATATTTGGAATTTCATAAAATGTTGATAACTTCTAAACAAATGTTTTTGGACAAATGGGTCTTAAGTTTAAGAGGTTGATTTGGTTTAATGTATTCACTAACTTCATTGACTTGATTCAATGATGAGATTAAACTATTTGATTCTCTTTCAAAATCAAAAATCAATTTAAAAAAAAGGCGGGGAAGGATAATATATAACGTACACTTCTTTCCAACAAATAACAACAATACATAATTACATTACAACTGCAAGTTAATTGTTACTCCGAAATTAATTTATAAGACATCTCCCCCCCCCCTCTTCTCGTTAATTCATTGAAAGAATTAAAACAGTTGAGGCTTATCAAATGAGGATTTTAAAGATCATTCGAATTACAAATTAGTCCAGATGTTAATCTTTAAATAAAACAATAGGGATTTTAAAAGATAGGACCTAATTTATGAATGTAATTTAGCCTAAGTACTAATTAAGCATCACACTACATTATCTTCAAATTTACGATAAACTACTAAAGTATTATTATTAAGGGATAAGTTTATAAGGATGTAAGAAAGAAAAAAAAATAACACAACTATCGTTACTTCTCAACCGATCTACTATATCAAAAGGTATACAAAAGCATGTAAAAGCAAGATACCACATAGTCTATATATGTTGTCGAGCCATCACAACTCTAAATCAAAATTGTGGAGTCGGATCGATTGATGCAGAAAAATTAAATTTGTCCTTGCTGTTCCGTAAAGTATTTCATATTTCAATGATCATATACAAAATTATATTCAAGCACGTGTCGAGAAATCAGAATCCACGAAACTGTAAATAATGTCAATTCTCTCCAATCTAAATACGGGGTTTGAATTGGAATTTATCTTTATTCTAAATAATTCTATTTTGCCATTTTACAATCGAGTTAAGTAATATATACTTTCGGTAGCAAATTTACATACATACATACATACACTATTCTTCTAACTTCTTCTTATAATTTAAAACATCTTAAAAGTATTAAATGCGTTATTGAAAACAACTTCAAATCTTTGAACATTTAAGAGACATTTATTCGATTAAAATTACATTTATCATTTCAAGATCTTCATCAAATAATCAAACTGATTTCTACATTCAATTACTGAATTATTTTTATTACATCATACACAAAAACTAATAATTTCAAACCACAATGTCAATTAATAGTTATTTTGAATTAACATTTTATCTTGTTTCAAAATATGTTGATTCAATATATCCAACAAAATCAGGTTTTAAAACAATTCAAACAACAAATGATAAAAAATTAAAACAATTGGAATTATATAATAAAGATGAAAAATTTCTTATTTTAAGTTTTACAGAAATAAGTAATGTTCAATCATTAATTAATTTATTAAATCTTGATGGTAGATTAGATAATGCTTTAATAAATTGGGAATGGTTTGATTTAGATGAAATTAAATTTCCCATAAATTCAATAGATGAATTATCAAAAGATTTAATTGATAAATTTAATAAAAAATTTAGATTAATTGTTGATGATGAAAAATTAAATTCAATATTTGATAATCCAAATACTAGAAATAAAGTTGCAGAACAAGAGCAAGGTCCAATAGTTGAAGAACATACTGATTCAGAAAGTAATTATGCAAAATCTCCAACTCCTGAAGTTCCTTATCATCCAACAAATCCAGTTATATCAGGTGGTAATCCATCTGCTTCTGCTGCATCAACAACTAATCAAGCATTTACAAGAAATAGACCTTCTGATATGCCTGATTTTGAAGATGAATATGAAATAAAAGATCCTGGTGCTCCAACTCATGATACATTAGGTCATTCAACTCATTTACCACCAATAGGATCAGATGATTTAAATCCTCCTGGAATACCGTCAGATCCAACTTTACGAGGTTATTTAGATCCATTACAACCTCCAAATTCAAATAATAGTGGTGGAGGAATGTATCCAACTTCAAATCATCCTATCTTCGGTTCACAACAACCAGGTACAAGTGGTCAAAAGGGAGTACCACCGGGTGCAAGATATGATGATCCTTATTCTGAAGATAATTTAGATAATTTAGGTCAAGGTTTACCATCAAATCTTAGAGGTCCTGGTGGTGCACCTTTTGATCCAAATCAAGGTCCAGGAGGTCCTGGTAATTTTGGTAATTTCGGTCCTCCAGGTGGTGGAGCACCAGGACTTTAGTCAAATAACAAGTATCATATATATAGAAATGTATAGCAATAAAATCTTTCATGGATGTGCAAGAACTACTAATGATGATGTCTCTCAGTTACACAGTACTTTTAAGTCGTATACAACAGACTACTACTAAATCTGGGAACTAAATCATCGTTGAAAATGTAATTACTCGAAAATAGATTATCTCATCAAAAGATATTGGGAAACACTAAGAACCAATATATTCTCCATTTGGCTGCAAAATATGAATAAATTGTCTAAATATATAAATCTAAAATTCGAATACACAAGCAAAATTCAATCACCGACAGTTTCTGTACACTTTAAATTTCTACCACTACGGTAACTAAACGTCAATTCAACTTATTCTCCATCACTAGACTCTTAGTTCGGTACATAGAGTTCCAAATAATCCATATTGAGTTACGGTGGTAAAATAATTGTCGCCGTTCTAATTTTGTAACTTGTCTCACATTTTTTCCGACACGGACCTGAATATTAAATTTAAAGATGCAGATGAGATTTTAAATTTAGTACAATCTAATATTTTTGCAACCATCCAAAACAACGATGTCAGATGATGAAGGATTTGATATAGCGACTTCATTGGTAGCTAAGTCAGATAATGAATTAAGCGAGGAGTCATCTTTAAGTTCAGATGAGGAAGGAGACTATCAAGATGAAATAGTGTCACTGAGTGATGATGAAGAAGAAGAAGAAGAAAAGAAAGAACAACCACCAAAAAAGAAAACTAAATTGAACAACACCAATGAAACATTTCCCAATTTGGAATTATCAGACGATGAAAATGAAGGAGACGATGATACCAAAATAAGTTCATATTTTGTAACAAATAATCCAACTGCAAAGAAAGCTAAAACTGGTTCATTTGCATCATTTGGATTATCTAAATTCATTTTAACAAATATAGCGAAAAAGGGTTATAAACAACCAACACCTATTCAAAGAAAATCAATTCCATTAATTATAGATAATAGAGATGTAGTTGGAATGGCACGTACTGGTTCAGGTAAAACTGCAGCATTTGTTTTACCATTAATTGAAAAATTAAAAACAAGAAGTACAAGTGGAGTAAGAGCTGTTATATTATCACCATCAAGAGAATTAGCTTTACAAACATATAAACAAGTTAAAGAATTTAGTCATGGAACTAATTTACAATCAATTGTTTTAATTGGTGGAGATTCTTTAGAAGAAGATTTTGGTAAAATGATGAGTAAATCAGATATTATAGTTTGTACACCTGGTAGATTTTTACATTTAAAAGTTGAAATGCAATATGATTTAGGAACTGTACAATATATTGTATTTGATGAAGCAGATAGATTATTTGAAATGGGATTTGCTGAACAATTAAATGAATTATTAATGGCATTACCACCAAATAGACAATCTTTATTATTTTCTGCAACATTACCTCGAAGTTTAGTTGATTTTGCAAAAGCTGGTTTAACAAATCCTGTTTTAGTTAGATTAGATGCAGAATCAAAAATTTCTGAAAATTTACAAATGGCTTATTTTACTACAAAAAAAAATGAAAGAGAAGCTAATCTTTTATACATTTTACAAGAAATTATTAAAATGCCATTGGGAAGTCCAGATGAAATTAAAAAATTAATATCTATGGATAAAAGACAAATAGATGATAGTGATGATGAAGATGAAAATGGTAAAAAGAAAAAATATAAATTTAAAAAGGAAAGAATGCCAAATGCTAATCAATTACCTTCACCTCAATCAACAATCATATTTGTACCAACAAAACATCATGTTGAATATGTTACAAAACTTTTAAGAGATGCAGGATATTTAGTTTCATATATTTATGGTACTTTAGATCAACATGCAAGAAAAAATCAATTATATTTATTTAAAATAGGTCTTACCAAAATATTAGTTGTTACAGATGTTGCAGCAAGAGGTATAGATATACCTGTTTTAGCAAATGTTATAAATTTTACATTACCTGGTTCATCAAAAATTTTTATACATAGAGTTGGTAGAACAGCAAGAGCTGGTAATAAAGGTTGGGCTTATTCAATAGTTAATTCAAAAGAATTACCATATTTATTAGATTTAGAATTGTTTTTAGGTAAAAAAATATTATTAACATCAATGCATGAAGCAAAATGTGAAATGTTACAAAAAAGAAATGGAGATTCATACATACCACCAAGAGTAAATTATACTGAAAGATTAGTTGTTGGATCAATACCGAGAATTGATATAGAAACATTTCAAGAACTTTATGAAAATTTATTAAGAAATAATTATGAAATTAAAGTATTAAAAGATGTTGCAGCAAAAGGTGAAAAATTATATCATAGAACAAGACAATCTGCTTCAACTGAATCATTAAAAAGAAGTAAAGAAATTATGGAAACAAATTCTTGGGATGATCAACATTTATTATTTGGTGAAAATTTAGAAAAGAAAAAAGATGAATTTTTAAATAAATTACAAAATAGAAATGTTAAAGAAACTGTATTTGAAATACGTAAAAAGGGAGTTAAAGAAAATGATAGTTTAGCTGAATTTATGCATAAAAGAAGAAAACAAATAGCACCAATACAACGAAAAGCTCAAGAACGTCGTGAATTATTACAAAAGGAAAGATTAGCAGGTTTGACTCATGGTATAGAAGATGAAATTTTAAAAGCTGATGATGAAAGAAATGGATATAATCAACAAGTTGATGAAGATGAATTACAAAATACTTTCGAAGATGGAGAACAACATCAATTAAATCAAAAGAAATCTTATAGAGATCCAAATTTTTTTATGAGTCATTATGCTCCTGCTTCAGTTATTCAAGATCAACAATTATCAATAAATTCATCATTTGCTAATGATGCACAAGCTGCAACTTTTGATTTAGATAATGATGATAAATCACAAAAAAATTCTCAAATAATGAAATGGGATAAAAAGAAAGGTAAATATATAAATTCACAATCAACTGATAAAAAATTTATTATAAGTGAAAATGGAACTAAAATTCCTGCATCTTTTAGATCAGGTAAATTTGATGAATGGAAAAAACAAAGAAATTTAAAATCATCATCAACTTCATTAGTATCACCAATTTCAACTACCTCAAACTCAAATTCAAATCAAAGATTTAAACATAATAAACAAAATGTACCAAAATTACCAGATAAATATAGAGATGATTATCATAAACAAAAGAAAAAAGTTGAAAAAGCATTAGATTCAGGTATAAATGTTAAAGGATATCATAAACCTGGTCAACAACAAGAAATTAAATCAACTGAACAAATTAGAAAAGCAAGAGCATTAAAAGAGAAAAGAAAAGCAAAAAATGCTCGTCCAAGTAAAAGAAGATAGACTAATATAAAATTTTCTTTGGGTGATAATTATTTCATTACATTACTAAATATTAAGGGAAAAATATACAAACCTTTTTTTTTTGCTTAACTAATATCTTCCTCTTCCACCTCCACCGCGATATGGATGGAATCCACGACTTCTACCTCTGTAACCACCTCTTCCTCTAAACCCTCCAGAAGGTCCATTTGGAGGTAATCTTTTTGGACCTCTTGGAATATTTGGTCTTGATGAAGCAGGAGCAACATTTGAAGAATCAGGTGATGCTGAAGATCCATTACCTGTATAATCAGAATTAGCTGGAGCATTTGGTTGTTGTTGTTGTGGTTGCTGTTGTTCAGATTCAGCGTCAACTTGTTGTTGTGGATTAAGTGGTTGAGCTACTGGTTGTTGATCTCCACCTGCTTGTTGAGCTGCTTGTTGATACATATACCATTGTTGATACCATTTCATATAATCTTGTGGGTTCATTTGTTGAAATCCACCATATTGAGCAGCTCCTGCACCACCATATGGATTATAAAATTGACCTTGTTGAGCTTGTTGAGCAGCGGCAGCAGCTGCGGCTTGTTGTTGTTGTAGAGCAACTTGTTGGTTATGTTGACCTCTTGGTGCTGCTCTTTTAACTTCCATAGCTTTACCTTTAAGAGTCAAATATTTATTTACACATACTTTATCAACTGCATCTGGTGAACTATAAGTTATAAAGCCAAATCCTCTTGATCTACCAGTATCTTTATCAATCATTAATTGACAATCAATAATTTCTCCAAAAGTTGAAAAAAATTGATTGAATTCAACTTCTGATACCATTGGATCAATACCTCCTATAAAAATTTTACCAACTCTATCTTGATCTTCTCTTGATATAGCTCTTTTTGGATCAATTAATTTCCCATCTAATTCATGATCTTGTTTTATAACTGCATCAACTGATGCAGGATCTTTAAAAGTTAAAAATCCAAATCCTCTTGATCTACCAGTTGCATTATCTTTCATGATAGTATAATCAACAACTTCACCAAATTTAGAAAAATAATTTAATAAGCCTTCTTCAGTTGTGTCCCAATTAAGTCCACCAATAAACATTTTACCACCTGAATCACCAACAGTATTTTGTGGAATTGGAGGGACAGGTGGTGACATTTGTGGCATTTGACCCATTGGAGGCATTCCTGGCATTCCTTGCATTCCAGCAGCAAATTGAGCATATTGAGCAGGATCGAAATTAAATTGTGGTGGCCCAGGCAATTGTGTACCATCTGTTGTATTAGCAGCACTAGCAGCATCAGCAGCGGCAGGAGCGATATCATTTGAGCCCGTGTTTGTTGGAGGAGGAGGTGGTATTGAGTCAGTTTGACTTGAATCATGAGATGTTGTGGTTGGTGGTGGCAAAGGTATAGTTGATGCTTCAGGGGCTGGTTCAACTTGTGATTGTTCATCTTTTTGTTCTGATTCAACATTTTTATCACTCGTACTCACTTCTTCCTTGACCTCTTCTTTTGGTTCATCATCTCCATATAAATCTTCAAAAAGAGCTTCATCGTCATCTAAATTCGACATTGTTATGGATATTTTATAAAATATTTGATAATAATATACGTTTAAGTTACGAAACTAAACAGGTACAAACTAAACACTCAGGGTAAATGAGGGTAAATATGAATCAATAAAATATAAAGTTTTGATTAGGATTTGATAAAGTTTATTAAATGATTAAACAAACTATGTATAAATTATACAATTATTATACCTATTCTTATAAAAAATTTATACTTGAGATCTTAAATAATTAATCAATCAATCAAGTAAAAAAAAAAAAATATTATATCAATGATGGTTGATTTATAAATAAAACTATACTTCTTTCCGACAAATAATTTACCTGTGAAGTTAGTAGTTGATGGTTGATGGTGTAACAAATAAGAATAAATTTTGACGACAAAAAAATTGATGATGAAAAAAAATGAATTTGTCTTAGTCGTGAGAAGCTTTGTTGTGACAATAATTTTTGACGTTTTTTCAAAAACTTAGTATCAGCCTAAATAATGACAGCTATATATTTCAGAATTCTACACTTCCATGATACAATTAACCTGCCTTTTATATTCAGCTTATTTATTCATAATTCTTGGGACATGTTCCGGATGTTTTTGCATATTTTCATCTAATGTTGAACATTTATATGGTTTACTTAAGAAAGGGGTTTTATCTTTTTCAAGAAACAGTCGAAGAAAATCAATTGGATCACTTAAGAAATGATACGAAAGAAAATTCTTTATCAAAATTTCCCGAAGTATTTGATTTAATATTAAGGAAACCTCACTATGAAGAATTTACATATAAACTTCTTCTAAAAGACAAAACTCCAATCTTAAGTAAACCATATGAATGTTCACCATTAGATGAAAAATTTTAAAATATTGAATTAATAGATGATAAAAGGAAATCAAGCGCTCTTATAGATGCTCCAGCTGATGTATAATTGCACCTTATTTTTCCAATATCAAAATGGAAAATGGCTGATGATTACGATACATATTAAGTACAACGAATTACTTTATAGTATAAGGTAGAAAACTCCTAAAATTGGCGATTTCATTAAATCATAATGTAACGACTAGATAAATATTTAAAACTATACAGGTTCTTACAGACTAGAATTCAGTTCCATTAATTTTTTCTTAAATAACAATTTACCAGAACCAGCAATTTTAGGTTTCAAAACTAAACTTGAACTTTGTAACTGATCATGATCTTTGTCTTTAGATTTTGAAACTTTCAAAGATTCAATTTTTTCAATTAACTCATCAACACTAGATTTATGTTCTAAAATTTGATTATTTAATTGATAAATAATATTTTCAATTTTAGAAATAGTTGAAGAATTTAAAGAATTTGATAATTTTAAAGTCATTAATAATGATACTAATTTTGATTCTAAATTTTTAATTTTTGAAAATTTTGAATTTAATTTTTGTTGAGTTTCCAATTGAGAATTTTCCAATGGTCTATTCTTGAGGAATTTTAAATTTTTTAAAGTACCCTTTTCTAATAATTTTAATTGAGTAAATAATTTATCAATTTTAATTTTTTCATTTTCATTAATTATAATTGAATTTGTTAATTTAGAAATTTCTTCTTCTGTTTCCTTAAGATATTCTAATTTATTTATATATAATGATTTATCATATTTTAAATTTGAAATTTCTGATAATTTATTAAATGTTGTACCTGGAGATAATTCATGTCTATGAATATTAAGTCCTAATAATTGAACATTTTTTTTTAAAATTCTCATACTACCTTCAGTTCCTAAAACAATTTCTCTAATTTTATCTTCTATAATTTTATTGGTTTTAGGCATTGGTTTTTTATAACCATCAAAAAATAAAAATTGAACAGGAGCAATTGGTGAATCATTTGATTCATTTGAATTTTCAATTTCTTCTTTATTTAAAATTTGATCATCTAGTAAATCATCTTCTTCTTCATCTTCATCATCATCATCTGGAATTTCAAGTTCTTCAATATCATTCTTACTTATATCAACGAATGATTCGAATCCTTTAGATTGATTAAAACTAGACTCATCTTCACCTTCTTCATTTATATGTTGTTTAGCAAATGAATTTTCTAAATAATTGTCTTCATTTTCAATATTTTCAAATTCATCATCTAATTCACTTCCAAATTCTTGTTCTTTATCAGTATTTTCATCATCACCATCACCTTCATCATAATCATCAGATGATATTACATTTTGAACTTCAGGAGTTTGTGGAGTAATATCTGATTTTTTAAATTGAGCAAATGGTGAGGGTTCAGTTGGTTTATTAAAGTTAGCAAATGGAGATGCGAAAGTTTTAGATTTGTCAAATTGACCAAATGGTGACGACGTAGCTGCAGCTGTGTTAGTAGTTTTACCTAGTCCGAAATTTGATGGTGATTGAGATGCTTGAGTTGCAATTTTAGGATGAGGAGGTGACTTTGTATTTAAGATTTCAGGTGTTGGCTCTTTTGAAGTATCAACCGGTTCAGCAAATGGAGTAGATTTAGCTATTGTACCTGTGAATGCAGGAGTAGAAGAAGCTGCTTTCGTGTTACCAAATATTGACGTTTTCGTAGAATCACCAAACATTGGAGATGGTTTATTTTCTCCGAAAATTGATTTTGCATCATTATTTGACGTTTGATTACCAAGTTTAGCAAATCCTGATGGTGCACTATTATTAGCATTTGCTAAATTTGCAAAAGGTGACGCAGTTGAATTAGTAGTGGTTGTGTTATTAGTATTACCAAATTTTGCAAATCCAGAAACTTTTGTTTGTGACTGTGATGAAGAGGAATGATTTCCAAATCCAGATGCACCAAATGATGCTTGGCCAAAACCAGATCCAAAACCTTTACTTCCTCCAGATGATCCGAAACCCGTTGATCCGAAACCCGTTGATCCAAATCCACTTGGTTGGGATGGAGTGGATGTTGGAGTTGATGTAGAAGTTGATGATCCAAGCCCTGTTGCACCAAATGCAGATTTTTGTTGTTGTGTAGTTTGTTGAGTTTTGAAGACATCAGCATTAGTAGAACCGAAAGGATTACTTTGAACTTGGTTAGAAATTGAAGGTTGATTTGAAATTTTAGGTTCTTCAACTTTAGCTTCTTTTTGGTCGTTTGTGCTCGATACGCTATCAATCTTCTTCAAATTTTCATTTGCCTTTTTTAAAGATAATTCATTTTTCAATAATCCCAGTTTATGATAAACAATCCAACTTTTTAAAACTCCATTATTTAATAAAGTATAAATTTTTGGTAAAATATTACCATCAATTTCTTCAATTCCTTCACAAGGATTTTTTATTTTGGAATTGGGATCAGATGATCCATTAATAAAAATATCAAAACCTAAAGAAGATTCATCTTCTCCTAATTCTTCATCTATTGGAAAATTAGCTCTATTTGAATCTTCACTTGGTAAAATTACTTCTAATTCATTAGATTCTTTTAAATAATTAATTAATCCTATTTCAATTGATATTGATGATACAATGAATGTTAAATCATTTTTTGGAACCCAATCATTTAAAGTGGTTGTATAATAACTTAATGATCTATTTGCTGAACTAAAAGGTGGTGCAACTTCAATTTGATAAGGTATGTATTTATTCGAACTTTCATCAAATTTTAATAAATAGGTGTGTACATCATGATAATCTGGTTTGGAATCAGTGAAATCATATATTGCAATTAAAAATTTATCTTGTATTACCAATAAATCTTTTAAAGTATGATCTTCCAATTGATCTTTTGTTTCATTTGAAAATGCAATTTCTTTGTCATGTATATTATATCCTGACGTGTTTGTTGTATAAATTGGTTCGTTATTTAACCAAGCATATGCTGAAATATTAGTTTCCGCCAATTTGGAGTTATGATATAGAATTTTTTCGGTATCTAATGCTAAGTAATTTGATGAATTTAATACTTTAAAACTAACAAATATAATATCATCATCCCTTAAATTTTTAAAATTATAATTCAAATTTTTGATTTGATCAATAGTTAAAGTTTGAATTTTCCCATCATTTAAACAATAAAATAAAAAATCAATAAAATATAATTGAGTAATTTTAACATTTTCAATTTCTCCAATTAATTCAATTTTATTAGTTGTTGAATTTTTAATAGATAAAAATTTTAATGATTCATAATTAGAAACTGCTATTATTTTATATTTATTATTTATTGCTAATAAATTTAATGAATTTTTAGTAAACTCATCTTTGTTTAAATCAAATCGATTTGGAAAAGCTCGATATTCATTAGTATCTAATTTAAAACCATAATCTTCTGAATTTGTTTCCTGTACTGAGGCCATTTTCGATAAGATCTGGATGAGTTTGTCCTAGTGTATCAATCAATCAAATCACAAACCGGATTGAGAACTAAGCAATTGATTTATTCGGAGTGTCTCAATAGTAGATTAGAAATTGTGAAAATCTGGAGTTAAACTTGGTTGTAAAACTGAAAATGCGTCTTTACGTTTCGTAAATTCTTTTAATCTAATGTCTATTCATACATTTTTTTACAGTCAAGCCAAAAGGACGTGTACTTAGTAACAAATTCTACTATTAACTTAAGAGATTTGGTATAAACATCGATTGATCTCGATTGAACCCTCGAATTGTAACCAAATCAAACTTTTCGATATATTGTCTACTAATCATTCAAGATCAATGAAATTCAGATGGTTGTATGCTTATCTTAAATTTCTTTATCAGGTAAGCTATACTTCGGAAAAATAGAACTATTAACGAGGATTTTCTCCGAAAGAGTTTGACAGACATGCATTAAGAGAACTTTCAAATATTCTACTGTTTTGTGTTTGACAAGAATAAATTAGTTATGGGGCCCATTAAAATTTTGGGGGATTCTATAAAGTACTGCTGGAGGTGATTAAAATTAAGAGAAAAAGATGTATGAAACAGAATTTTTATTTTATTATTCCGGTTTTTACACAAAATTTATTTCATCTTACATCTTAAGCTACAAATATTAAAAATATAATTTTTCCGAAATTTGTGTATACAGATCACAAAAATAAATTATTAGTAAAATATAGAAAAATGTAAAGCAATTACAATCAATTATGTGAAGCATTCTAACTTAGGTTCCAATAAAAGCAAGTAAGGAGTATTCTTTAGTAATAAAGGTTAATGGTAGAAAAGAGTGCCGTTTGATCTATTGCGGCTACATGAACTGTTAAAAGATTTGTAGCTCTTATAATTTAGAACGGTTTAAAAAATCGATTTTGTTAACATAAATTACTGTAACAAACGTTTTTTACACAAATTTTACGCAACAATTGTTAAAAATAACTTAGCCAACCAGTCAGTAGAAGAATAGAATAAAATGTAACAATATAAACTGGCTCAAAAATACTAGCTATGTTGTGAAAACCTGGAGAGAAGTGTGGGGGAAATATATTTCATTAGCAATTGTGTTACTACTTATACATAAAAAAAAATATTCTATTGTTACAAACGGTTTAATTAGGATAATTAAAAGATAAAAATCCGAAATTTTTTTCATAACTAAATAGGAGAAGGGTTAATGAACATTTTCAGTTTTATGCTTGAGATCTCCCTTTATAAATGCGGGTTGATACTTTGCTTGACTTTGACTGTTGGATATGTTAAATCTACTTATATATTAGTTTAGTTGATACTATTCTATCTACCTTCATAAAATACGGAAGAATTAGTAAATTTGAATGATCTTTTTCTATGTTATTTTCGTAATTATTTAAATAATTTTTTATTTTTCCCTATAGAAAAAAATTTAAACTTTTTTATTTTTAAACTCATTAATATTTAACAAAGATAATATCATCAAATTTAATATTTAGTACTAAATATTTTGAATTATAAAGGAATCACTATATTTCAGAAATAAGAATACCTGTTAAAAAAAAGATAGATTCATTCAATCAAACTAATTATATCAACTAGTATCAACCTACTAATAAGTCGGAATTTGATATTTTTGTGCAATTGAAGAAGATTCTACCCCACCACTTTTTAAATATAATATACAATCTTAAAAATAATATTCCATTTGACAACCAAAAACTCGTCGGAATAACAACCAAATTTTTTCATCAGTTGGCATTTACAAACATATTCTTCACAAATTGAGATAAAATTTAACCAACCCCATACATTATTGACTTAGCCTACATATTGCATGGCTCAGATTTATTATTAGATCAAACCAAATTAACAAGATTGAAAAACATCAAAATAAAACAAATACCTACGAATGTACCTTTGAATATCTTTATAAAACCAAATAGGTACTAATAGGAAGAAGAAAATAAGAAATTTAATAATTTAAGGAAATAAAGTCCCAATTTTAACGCAAAACTTACCAAATTTACAATAAAAGTACAAGAAACACAATAAATCGAAAATGTATGGATCACCCTTCTCCAATGGTCTACATCAAAAGCAACAAGCACCTTCTCACTTCAAAGAAAACGCTAGAAATGCAATTTATAATCAATTACCTTCCATAAGTCAAAATATTCAACAACAGCAACAACAACAACAACAATCATCATCATTATCTATAAGATCAGCACCTTCACAATTTTTAAAAAATTCATATAAATCATATCAATCACTGCATAGATCATCTTCATCGTCATCATCCATATTTTCATCATTTACATCTGGTAAAAGATCAGTACGAAGTGCTCCATCTATATATTCAAGTTCAACAGGTACAATTCCTGAAGATGAAGAACAAATGACTGCAACAGTTGAACAATTAGTTAATGATATACAATTACATGAACAACATTTCTTAGAAGAATATAATAAATCACAACAACTACAACAACAACATTTTCAATCAATACAGAGTAACAATAATAGTTCTACTTCTTTATTACAAAACCCATCATCATCGTCATCATCAATAAATTATTCAATAACTGATCCAGAAGAATTTTATAAAATTTCATTAGGTTCAAGTTTATCATATCAAAATAATAATGAAAATTATTTAATTGATTGGAATTTAAATGTAACAAGATGTAAATTAATTTTAACTCAATTACCTTCAATATCATCAACTTCAGATACAATATCATATAATCAAACAATGTTACCACAATTAATTGGAGATTTAGCATCAAAATGTAATATTATAATTATACAACCAAATCTTACGGATACTGAATTAATTTTTATATTAATTCAATCAAATTTATATGTTGAACATAATTTAGATATAAATTTTAAAAAATCCGTAGCTGAAATATCAGTAAAACAATCAAGATTATTACAAATTAATTCAAATAATAATAGCCAAAATAGCATATCATCATCACAACAAAATTTTTTAAAATTTAAATTTAAAGAAATTGCAATTAGAAATTATTTAATAAATTTAGCAGCTGCTGCAACAACTGCACAAGAATATAAATTAAAATTAGATGAATTTAAACAAAAAAATAAACAAAATAATATTGATCCTGTAACTGGTAATGTCAAGAAATTAAAATTAAGTAAAGATGATAAAAAATTTTTATGGGAACAAGTTAGATCTGATGTATTTAAAAGAGCTGGTCTTGAATAATACAATTATTTCTAATATCAATATATATGTGTCACATATCCCTCTAAATTAACCAATATATATTAAAAAATTTTAATCAATCGTATTATTTAAAATATATATATGTGTCCCTCTATAATAATCCATATATTAACATTTCAACATAACATTAATAATGCTGGCTAATACCTATTTTTTTTTATCAAAATTTCTTCCTATCATTTTTAACCTTTTTATAATGGTTCTTTTTACCACTAGTTTTAGAAATTTGAATTTCATTATATTTTCTTTTAAAATATTTTTTAGTATTATCATCATTTAAAATTTCTTTAACTAAATTTTCACCTCTTTGTTTTCTTTGTAATTTATTCGTGGAACTATCGTAGCTACTTTCAATTATTGTACCCATTTGAAAAAATTTTGGAATATCCCATTTTTCCTTTTTATAATGTCTCTTGGGATCTAATGCTGTTCTTTGTTTTATTATTTGTAAATCTCTTTTTATTGTTGGTGTTAATTCTGGTTGTGATATATTAAACCATTTTGAACCTGCATCTGGTTTAGTTGATTTTGTTTTTGATTTGGCTGTCATTACTGGATCATGAATTCGTATTGATGTTGATTTTCTTTTTGTTTTGGGGTTGGATGATGATGATGATGATGATTCTAAATTTGATTGAATTTTAGGTAGATTATTTATTTTTTTTTCTAAATTTTTAAAATCATAATTTATTGAGGTGAAATCTTCATTTGAATCAAGGATATTATTTGGTGAATCTTTGGAGCTACTTATTTTAGTATTAGTTTTATTTAATTCTTCATTTAAATCTTTAAATAATTCATCTAATGATTTATTATCATTTGGATTTTTTGAGGATAATTTATCTGATGATGTATGTGATTCTGTTTCTGAACTTTCTGCTATTGTTGGTTCTTGTTGTTTATGTAGTGAACGGCCCATTTTTAAAGAAGTTGTATTGATTTGAATGGTTTAAAATAGAGATGATATAAAAAGAAGCGATAAAGTAATTTTTAAAATGATGGTACAAAAACTAGAGAGATACAAAATTCAATCAATTTCTAATATACAATATGTTCATTTACATTTTATGACTTCATATACCTCATCTATGTACTCTAACTACATTATCCTAATGGCTCAAAGACCATCAGAATAACCACTAACTAAAGCTTGATTGAATCCACCTTCTTTTACAGCTAATTCATAATATCCATAAATAGTAGTAACAGCTAATAAAATTGAAGTACCACTACCTAAAGTTCCCATTAAATCACATACAACTGATAATGCACCAATAGTTGCACCACCAAATGCAGCAGCAATTGGAATAATTTTTTTCAATTCTCTATAAGCTGAAGTATCTCTATGACCTGCTATAACTAATCCTTGTTCTTTAAATTGTTTTGCAACATCTCTTGGTGATGTACCACTAATTTCAATCCAAGTAGTTGAAAATAAAGCACAACTTCCTAAAACAAAAGCAATATAAATTGTTGTTTTGATTGGATCTAAAAGTGCTTCAGTAAAACTAAAAGGTGGTTGAATATAATAAGCTAATCCTCCATTTGCATATAATTGAGCTGATCCAGGTCTTGCATCCCAAGTTCCTAATAATTTAATAAATAAATTATTTGGCCATCTAACAAATAATAATTGTGACATAATAAAAATATTTGAAGCTAATGCACTTTCTAACATAATTGGAATATTTGAAGTATAAAATAATCTAATTGGATATAATCCATAAGGTCCTCTTTGTCTTGTTGATTTCATTGGTAATTCAATTCTAAAACCTTGTAAATAAACAACAATGAAAAAAACCAAGATTGTTGCAATTAATTGAAACATATTTGGTAAATTTGGTCTATAAAATGATTCAATTAATGCTCTTTTTTTATCTTTTCTTGATCCAAATAAATGAAACATTGATACAACAGCTCCATCAAATTCAGTTCCTCTTGCTGATGAACTTGTAGTTGGTGCAAATGCTTTCCAAAATACTTGTTCACAAGTATTTGTAGCTGTAAATAATGAAACACCACTTCCTAAACCATAACCTTTTTGTAATAATTCATCTAATAATATAACAATAATACTTGCAAATACTAATTGTAAAATTAATAATAAACAAACACCAATTCCTAAATCTTTTGGTGGACCATACATTCCAGTTAATACATAAACAGTAGCTTGACCAATTGCTAATAATATAGCTAATAATTTTTGAGCAACTTGAAAAGTTTCACGATCATTTTTATTTTGCATATCAACATGAATTAATTTTGTACCTTGTAATAATTGAAATAACATTCCTGAAGAAACAATTGGTGATATACCTAATTCCATTAATGTACCTCTATTTGATGCTAACATCATTCTTAACCAAAATAATGGATCACTTGAATCTGTTGATGCTATACCATAAAGTGGAATTTCTGACATTACTAAAAAAATCATTAACGTTATTATTGTCCACATTACTCTTTGTTGAAATGGAACTTTACGTTCTGGAGCTATTACTTCTGGTAAATATGGACTAAATGGTTTTACCAAATCCAATACACGAAACCCACTCATTTTTGATTAATTATTAGATGTGATAGATGATATGAAACAAGAGTAATTTGTAAAATGGATTGAGCAATTGGGGTTTCCTATTTAGATTGGAACTAAAAGTTTAAATTTTCTGGTAATCAGATCAAAATATTCAATGAAAGTTTTGAAAAAAACTGAAAAAAATTGAAAATAATAATGTAACACGTCAACTTGACAAACTACTTACGAGAGTTTTTGTAGACTTCCTAATTCAGTATTATGCGACAAGACACGTTAATTGATACTCAATTGTGGACCCTTGATCCACGCAAATCAGTACGCAGATCCATTCGTCTTATATGCAGTATATTTTGAAAAATTAAATTTAATTATTTGATAGAGAGACATCATTTTAATTTGATCAGACCTTATAATTTAAAACTAGATCAATCACAAATATTATACATAATGGCATCAGATTGGGCAGCCAAATTGGCAAACAGTACTCCATCACCTGCAAAACCACAATCACAACAACAACAACAGAATACAAAGTCAACTGAGAAAAAATTCAAAAAAAAATCATCTCAGAATCAAACCTCCTCACAATCACCACCACCTTCGTCATCACAGAATCATCAAAAATCAACGCATTCAAATTCCTCCAATAAATCTACTGCATCGAATCAACAACAGCCGAAACAATCTACCCCACCCACGCAACAACAACAACAACAATCAACAACTAAATCACCAAGTCCATCATCATCATCATCAAAACCACAAAATCAACCACCTTCAAATTCAGAACCTTATAATTTAAATTCTAAGGAAATATTAAATTATCTACAATCAAATTATCAAACATATTTAACAAATGCAAAAAATGATAAAGAAGAAGAAAATTATAAAATATATAAATCATCAGATAATACAAATCAATGGACAACAAAAATAAATTCACATAAAGGATTTCAACCTAAAAATGTATTACGAAATAGTAATAATAAATCAAATTTGAAAAATTCTGATAATCAAGTACTGGAAAAGAATAACAACAATAGTAATGGGCATGGTCTGCCGAATCATACAAATGGTAATTATACTGTTGATATATTGTTTGAAATCAATAGATCTATTTACCAACAAAAGCAGCAGCAGCAGCAGCAACAACAACAACAACAGCAATCACAGAGCTCTAAATAAAGATTATAGATAATTGATGTTGTTATCCGAGTTTCGTCAGCACTCATAGTCCATTATTACTTTCTCTTTACATCTTTTTAATTCAAATTCCAAATTTGATCATTTTACAGATGTTATGTTTTGATCAACGACTGATATGTAACTAAACTTCTAATTTGTTACCCGTCCAATACTAAACGAATCACCACTAATATTATTGGGAATCTTCGTGTCTACATTTGTAGTTAAACATCTTAAGTGCATATTGAGTTTAGAAACACTTGTGGGTTGTAGATTACAGTGGCCATAAAATTTGTCTCCAACTCCAAGAAACAACGAGCTCTTACCAAATTTGGAGCCAAGTTTTCATGATTATGTTTGACTTACAAAGTTTTGATATTTGAATTGTTGTAAGTAAAGTTATTGAAAGTTGGTTATATGGATGGAAAATAAATTCCGTTACTATATTAGATTAAAAACCGTTTCATTAAGTAATGAATTACGTAATAAATAGATTTTTCAGCGTTTTAATGTTTGTACTAAGAATCCCCGGGCAGCTTTTATTCAAAATCACAACGCGATATCCGAATTCCTCGAGACACAAATACAACGAGTTATTGCTATTTTCACGGTATAAGCTTTGTTTAATAAATTTTAAATCTCACAAAGTATTTTAAATTATGGGCCCGGTATGATGTCGGGAGACAGCAAAAATAAACCAGAAATTTTAAAGAAAGGCACATGTATTTTTAGTTTTAGTTTTAGTATTATCTCGACTCGTCCGTTTAATTTTTCAATAATATAAAGTGATTCTCTCTCTTAATGAAATTTATATGGGGTATTGGAAATAAAAAAATAATAATAATAAACAGAATTAATTTCACAACTTTTCATACAACTTATTCTTTTTACCAAATTATTGAAGTTCATTTTTAAACGATCAATTGAATCTTTAAAATACAATATTCACAAATACATTTAACAATTAACAATGGTTGAAGCTCATGATACAGTATCCAAACAAATGGATGTTGAAACTGATATTATAACATTAACAAGATTTATATTACAAGAACAACAAAAATTAGCACCAAAAGCTACTGGTGAATTATCATTATTATTAAATTCTTTACAATTTGCTTTTAAATTTATAGCACATAATATTAGAAGAGCAGAATTAGTTAATCTTATTGGTGTATCAGGTACTGCAAATAGTACAGGAGATGTTCAAAAAAAATTAGATGTTATTGGTGATGAAATTTTTATTAATGCTATGAAATCTTCAAATAATGTTAAAGTACTAGTTAGTGAAGAACAAGAAGATTTAATTATTTTTGAAGGTGGTGGTAGATATGCAGTTTGTACTGATCCAATTGATGGTAGTTCAAATATTGATGCAGGTGTTTCAGTTGGTACTATTTTTGGTATTTATAGATTAAGAGATGATTCAAATGGTTCTATAAATGATGTTTTGAGAAGAGGTACAGAAATGGTTGCAGCAGGTTATACAATGTATGGTGCATCAGCTCATTTAATGTTAACTACTGGTAATGGAGTAAATGGTTTTACATTAGATACTCAATTAGGTGAATTTATTTTAACTCAACCAAATTTAAAAATTCCAAAAGAAAGAGCTATTTATTCAGTTAATGAAGGTAATTCATATTATTGGCCAGATTATGTTAAAAAATATATTGAAGATTTAAAAAAGCCTCAAGATAATTTAAAAGGTAAACCATATAGTGCAAGATATATTGGTTCAATGGTTGCTGATATTCATAGAACTTTATTATATGGAGGTATATTTAGTTATCCAGCTGATACAAAATCAAAAAATGGTAAATTAAGAATTTTATATGAATGTTTTCCAATGGCTATGTTATTAGAACAAGCTGGTGGTAAAGCTATTAATGATAAAGGTGAAAGAATTTTAGAAATTTTACCAAAAGGAATACATGATAAATCTGGTATTTGGTTAGGATCTGAAGGTGAAATCAATAGATTTATTGAATATATTCCAAAAAATTAATAAACACATTCATGAGTACACAGTACATAGATCATATACTTAAAAGAAATAAAAATTAAAAATGATTCAAATTTTACAATAGTTTTTTTGTCAAGGGAAGTGTTCTGTGGTTAAGGTAGTTAGACTTTGTCTTAAATGTTGTGTGAACACCTCGTACTTATTCTTATGATCATGGAAATCTAATCTCCTGGATATCTCGATCAAAATTAATTTTCTCGGTTAAAGGGATATTAGATAACCTTAAAACTTCCGATTTTGTGGAATGTTTATTTTTTGTATACGGAACATTCGTAATCTTTAGAGTTCAAAAGAGGAGGTCTATTTGTGAACAACCTTGACGAATGAGTTTGTATAACTAGAGTACTTATATAGTCGATCAGAATCGATTGGGAGACGGCTATGCACGGCTAGGATAGACTTTTTTTACTAGCCTGGAATTGTAAAATGAATCTCGTGTAGATTGAATGTCTAACGAAATCATATCTGACTATTGGCAAAGCTAATATAGATTATGTTGAAGTCAATCCCCCCAACTGATTGAACAAAATAGATGACTACATATCATCTCCAAAAACTTTCATTAAAACGTATCGAAAGTTGGTTATAATTACTGATTCCCCAAAGATGTTTTACTTATTTATTTTTTAATTATGTACTTCTGCTTATATAAGCAGAGCAAAAAAATTAGAGATATCAGATTTAATTTTTAAAACAAATTTACAACCACATTACTTATCTTTTCAACAAATTTACAACATTTGAATCAATAAGGGATTTCAAATGTCACATAAATGGGTAAACCAACAGTATGTTTTAATCATGTTGTCTTAAACTTGTGTTTTTCGGAATCTCAATAGCTTATCTTAGATATTGAGACTGTCTAATACTAAAGTTTTGTGATGGATATAATCAAAATCATAATAATACTAACAATCCCATCAGTACATCTTAATAATACGACATGGAGAATCTGAAGGAAATTGTGATAAGTCAGTAAATCGAACAACGCCAAATCATTTAGTACCATTAACCAAAAAAGGTCATGAACAATCAGAAAGAGCAGGAGATTTATTAGTAAACTTTGTACATCACAAAGCATTAATCAATGCTAATCCCAAACGTGCCAAAAAATCAATACTATTTTATACTTCACCATATTTAAGAACAAGACAAACTTGTTTTAATCTAATTGAAAAAATAAAAAATGAAGGAGATATTCAATATACAGTTCAAGAAGAAACTAGAATGAGAGAACAAGATTTTGGTAATTTTCAATCATCTGGATCTGAAATGGATAGAATATGGAAAGAACGTGCAAGTTATGGTCATTTTTTTTATAGAATACCTCATGGTGAATCAGCAGCAGATGTTTATGATAGAGTTGCAAGTTTTAATGAAAGTTTATATAGACAATTTCGTAATGAAGATTTTCCAAATATTTTGGTTTTAGTAACTCATGGAATATGGTCAAGAGTATTTTTAATGAAATGGTTTAAATGGACTTATGAAGAATTTGAAAGTTTAACAAATATACCTCATTGTAAATATATAATAATGAAAATAGATCCAAAAACTCAAAAATATCATTTATTAACAAAATTAGATACATGGGATGATGTTAGTGATGATGAATTAAGACTGGAAATATTAAAAGATTTAAAAGAAAATGAATTAAATACTAATACAGATAGTTTTATAAATCATAGTAATAATGCTGATGAAATTGAAATGATTATAAGTGCTCAAAAGCTGAATATTGATTTTAATAAAGAAAAAAATAAAAAAATAGAAGAAATGTATAATCAAGTTCATAATAAAATACATGAACCTGAACCAAATAGAAAATTTAATAATGGTGAAACTAATAAAACATCTGGAGGACATAATGATTCAATAAATCCAAATGATACTGAATTTAGAGATAGATTGATTTCCAAATTTAAAGTAGATAATCAAAGTGTATGTAATAGTGTTGAGAGTCTCGAAAATTGGAAACTGAATTGATGATGATGTGAATAAAACAAGTTTGTATGAATAAAAAAAATAATATATTTATTTCTAAATAACGACGTAATTTGTAACATAGTTAATTCTGACCTCGCTACGTATCTACGATTCTTCCATTCACATGAAGAAGGTTTTCCCCGGACTGTAATAGTGCGCAAAAAGACAATCTTTTTTGTCTTATACACTACTTCGTTCAATAAAACACCCTTTACGCATAAAATTTAGTGTCTCAACTTCATTATTTTTCACCAATTTGAATCATATAAATAAATTGCTCGATTCGATATCTTTTTCTTTCAATTGATATTGAAAAACTCAATTATACAAAGAAATATAATAACTAATACACAATGGCTCGTCAATTTTTTGTTGGAGGTAATTTCAAAGCAAATGGTACAAAACAATCAGTTAAATCAATTGTTGAAAATTTAAATTCTCAAGATTTACCAAAAGATGTTGAAGTTGTTATATGTCCTCCTGCATTATATTTAGGATTAACTGTTGAATTAAATAAACAACCAACAGTTGAAGTTGGAGCACAAAATGTTTTTGATAAAGCTTGTGGTGCTTTTACTGGTGAAAATATTGCTGAACAAGTTGTTGATATTGGAGCAAAATGGACATTAACAGGTCATTCAGAAAGAAGAACTATTATAAAAGAAAGTGATGAGTTTATTGCTGAAAAAACCAAATATGCTTTAGATAAAGGTTTAAAAGTTATATTATGTATTGGTGAAACTTTAGATGAAAGAAAAAAAGGTATTACATTAGAAGTTTGTGCAAGACAATTAGATGCTGTTTCAAAAATTATTAAAGATTGGTCAAAAATAGTTGTTGCTTATGAACCAGTTTGGGCTATTGGTACTGGTTTAGCTGCTACTCCAGACGATGCAGAAGAAACTCATAAACAAATTAGAGAACATTTAAGTAAAACTATTGGTCCAGAACAAGCTGAAAATTTACAAATTTTATATGGTGGATCAGTTAATGGTAAAAATGCACCAGAATTTAAAGATAAAAAGAATATTGATGGTTTCTTAGTAGGAGGTGCTTCATTAAAACCAGAATTTGTAAACATTATAAAATCAAGATTATAAATATAAATATTCTAATCTATTATTGAAAGACTATTTAACATATTAGTTTTTAATTGTAATGAATCAATAGGTTTATAAGAATTTAATTTTTCAAAAATTCCAATTAACTGATTAAAATATTCACCTTCTTTGTGCTCTATAAAATATTTATCTATATATGTATCACTTTCTGTTAAGATTTGGCTTGAGTTTAATGTATTAGCTAAAAGTTCTAACAATTCTTCCTTCTCACCATTAATCCAATTAGATAAAGAAAAATATAAATTTGATTTTTTAGTTTTTAACCATCGTCGAGCTTGATCAATTGATCCAGTATATGAATGCAAAACAACAATAATGTTTGAATATTTCATTACTTCATCATATAATATTCCATGAGCTTTCACACAATGTATTGAAGCTTGTACTTGTAAATCATTCGCTAGTTTTAATTGATATTTAAATATATTCATTTGATGATCAATTTTAACTCTTGAAGTTGATAATTTATCTTTTTCATTTTCATTTTTATAATTTGGATTACCCAAAAATCCAGCATTTGGAACTCTAAATAATTTATCAAGTCCAATTTCTCCAATTCCAAATACTTCTATGTTATATCTCTTAATGATATCCTTCATTTTTGATGTATGTTCAATAATACTTATCGGCTCGGGTAACAAGTTCAATAATTCTTCAGATGGAGGCGGCAGTAACACACTATTATAATGTTCTAATTTATTAAGTTTCTCATTACTAGTATAAAATAAATGACTAAACCAAGGATGAACTCCAAAATATGGTACAACAATATCCTCATTTTCCAATTTATCCAATAATACTGCCATACATTCTAAATCTATATGTTGAGTAGTCATTAAATGGAAAAACTTATTTGGAAATTCATATTGATAATCATTTAATGCTTTAGCAAGTTCAAGAGTTTGTTCTATTGTAGCCTCTGGATGAAAATGACAATGATTATCTGATAAATTAATCAATGGTTCATCTAATTTTTGTTTGGGCATTTATGAGAAGTAGAACATTTATGAAGAATGACATTTATAATAAAAATTTAATTTTGCTTTAGGACTAATTGATTTTATTTTAATTCCGTCAAAACAAGGCTAGTTAAGGGGTAGTGGAATACATCTTTCAAAAACCGCTTAATCTGAGCTCCGAATTTTGCATGAAACTGTTTTGAAGAGCAATAATGTTGTTACTTCAGCAGAAAGAGCTCTCAATGAATTGATACAGTGAAGATTAAGATATGACAATAATTTTGAAATGAATTTGTTTTGTTGTCACCTAAAAGCTGAATCTTTTTAAAGGTTTGTATATAATTTATGATCTTTTCGGAGTTGCTCGAGGTTCTTGCGATTAGCTCACCAGAACACTTTTTGTTCAACAGTCTAGTAAGTTTTTTTTCTTTAGTATACATGACTTTGATTTTAATGACAGTTGGAAATTCAATGAAATGAAATTGTTGATAAAGGTTTAAAGGCGATTCGCGTTATAAACTGTAAGTCATTTTGTTTCAAAATATTTATTGGTTTTACTTATCCCATTAACTATAAATCTCACTATTTTCGAATTACTTTTCTCTTCCACAAGATTGTATTTTCTCATTTCATAGATCATCATCAATCAGAAAAGTAAGACAAAGTTACTCTAATGATATATGCAATTTAATATATTCTGCATTTTGTGATTATGTATTTGGTTAATTAAAAAACCCGAAATTGTTTTGAAAAAAAAAATTAATTTAAATAAAAATAAACAAAGGTTAAAAAAATATACGGAAGAAAAAAAAGTATTAGTTTTTGGGACTACATAATATTTGACATATACTTTAAACAACCATTAAAATATATTTTAATAAACACAATTGCATTCATACAACACACACTCATAGCAAAGGTTTCATTATTATAAAGTAATAGAAAGCGGAAATAGGAAAATACCTATAACATTCATAAATAAACAACTTATCAATCTGACTTAAACTCAAACAATGTCAGAATCAACTCCAATCAAACTACCTTCATCACTTCCATTCCCAGTAATTATATCATCAATATTATGTTCCAAAGGTGAATCTATTACAAAACATAAAGAAATTTTCAAATATAAATATTGGGTATATCAAGATGATCCAAATTCAAAAGATGAACCACCTAAAAAAATAAGAGTTGAAAGAATTGGAACTTTTGAAAGTCCAATTGAAGGTATAATTGAAAAAATAAATGTATTCAATAATGAAGAAATTTTACATAATGATATTGAAATATTAAATATAAAAGAATTATGTACTCATACTGTACAATATGGTGGACTTTGTGCATTATGTGGGAAATCATTAGAAGAAGAAAAAGATTATTCAGGTTATGACTTTGAAGATAGAGCTACTATATCAATGTCTCATGATAATACAGGTTTAAAAATAAGTTTTGATGAAGCTGCAAAAATTGAAATGAATACAACTGATAGATTAAATGAAGAAAAAAAATTAATTTTAGTTGTTGATTTAGATCAAACTGTTATTCATGCAACTGTTGATCCAACTGTTGGAGAATGGCAATCGGATCCTTCAAATCCAAATTATCCTGCAGTAAAAGATGTTAAAACATTTTGTCTTGAAGAAGATCCAATCGTACCACCAGGTTGGACAGGACCAAAATTACCTCCAACAAAATGTTGGTATTATGTTAAGATTCGACCTGGATTATCTGAATTTTTAAAAAATATGAATAATATTTATGAAATGCATATTTATACAATGGCAACAAGAAATTATGCTTTAGCAATTGCTAAAATAATAGATCCTGATGGAAAATATTTTGGTGATCGTATATTAAGTAGAGATGAAAGTGGTTCATTAACTCATAAAAATTTAAAAAGATTATTTCCTGTTGATCAATCAATGGTTGTTATAATTGATGATAGAGGTGATGTATGGCAATGGGAAAATAATTTAATAAAAGTTGTACCATATGATTTTTTTGTTGGTATTGGAGATATAAACTCAAGTTTTTTACCTAAAAAAAATGGTCAATTAACAGGTCCAATTAAAAAGAGAAAATCAATAGCGAAATTAGAAGCAGCAGCTGAAAATAATAAAACAAAAGAAGATGAAGAAAATAGTAAGGATTCACAAAGTCAGTCACTATCACAATCACAAACACAATCATCACAATCACAATTACAAGAAGAAGCAACTCAAGAAGATCCAAAAGAAATCACAACAAATCCAGTTGAAAGAATATTAGAATTAGGAGGAGGAGAAGATAATACAAATTTATTACTTGAACAATCAATAACAAGAAATCAATCAATTGAACAACAACAACATGATCGACCTTTAGCAAAATTACAACATGATTTAGATCAATTACATGAACATAAATTAGAAAATAATACAAATAAAAGTTCTACCAATGGATCTGGATCTGGTTCATCATCATCATCATCCTCATCATCAGATAGTGAAGATTCTGAATTTGATGAAGATTTAGAAGATGATAATTTATTATATGATGATGATAATGAATTAATATTATTAAATAAAGTATTAGATAATATTCATAAAGAATATTATTTACAATATTCAAAATTAAATAAACCAAATTTAACTAAAATAATACCATATATGAAAAGTCAAGTTTTAAAAGGTATAACAATATTATTTTCTGGTATAATACCATTAGGTATAAATTTAAATTCAGCAGATATTGTAATATGGTGTAAACAATTTGGTGTAAAAGTTGTAAATGAAGTATATCCTGATATTACTCATGTTATATGTAAAGATATAAATGAAAATTCTGGACCCACATTAAAAGTTAGAATTGCTAAAAAATTATATGGTAATAAAATTAAAATTGTAAATCCAGATTGGTTATTTTTTTGTTTAAGTAATTGGTCAAAAGTTGATGAAACTGAATATTTAATTAATAATAATGATGAAAAATTATGGGATATAAAACAATCGGAAATTGATAAATATTTAAAAAAATTAGATAATATACAAAAAAAAAGAAATGATGAGTCCAAAATAGGGAGTAATGATTTAATTAATGATGATAACGATGAAAATGATGAAAGTATACGATTAAATTCTATTGATAAATTTGAAGATTATGATTTAGATGAAGCTAATCAAGAAGTTGATGATTTCTTAGCTGGATTAAGTGATGAGGACGATGATGATGATGAAGATAATGATGATGACGATGAAGAAGAGGAAGATGAAGAAGAGGAAAATATCAATACTAATGGTCATGATTCATTTATTAAAGACGTATATAAGAAAAAAAGGAAATTAGAGGTGGATAATGAAGAAGAAGAAGAAGAAGAAGAAGATTCAGAAAATAATACTACTATAAATGATAAAAAGCGTAAAACGAGTAAAAATACAGATAATAATGAATCAATAGAAGATAATGATGATGATAATCAATTAAATATAGATGCAGAAGATTTGGAACAAGAATTACTTAATGGGTTTGATGATTTGAATGATGATTAGCTATTTTAATTTTAATTTTTAATAAGATAATTGTACTAATAATAAGGATATATATATATATATTGTAATTGTATAAATATACAATCAATTTCAATTCTCGGTAAAAAGTATTAATAAGTTGAAATTTTATATATCATTCTTAATTAAAGTCTATTAATAATAAACTTGGTCGTTACAAAATCAAAAGTAATTCTTTGAGATTTAGATCAAGAGGATCTACATAAAATACTTTTGCAGCAAAAGAAGAAAAAGTTTCAGTAACACCAAGCCTTTAACTGTAAAATTTATTAATTAAGAAATCATAGTGTTATTTTATATTTTTGATGTAATGAGGTGTTGATCTGTTTAATTACATATTAATTGAGAAAGGCTATGCAAAACATATTTATTTTGTAATTTTCGATTTGGTTGTACTAAATTACAGATTATTATGATAATGCCTGCCTAGTCTATACATCTTTTCAAAATGCTAAAAACTACCTTTTATACACGGGAAACTGCTTTAAATCTTCATACAAAATACAATAGTTATGATTAGTTTACTTTACTTATTAGATTAAATATTAACTTTAAGTTTAATTAAAAAAATTTTGATTCATTATAACTGGTTTCACTGATCGATCCAGTTATTATTAATTTTTACACTACTGGAGGTTATTTTTAAATTGGTAGACTACACAAAAACAGCAGATCAAAGATGAAGCAGCCTATAGCATATAGATCTAGTAGAAAACATCTTCAAATACCCAATTATACTACTACTTGTACTGACAAAATACAATAGTAATGATCTGTTTGACTTGGATATTAGATTTAATGCCAACTTTAAACTAATTTAAAAAATTTTCTTGTAATAATAACTGGTAATAACTGGTGTAACAACTGGATTCCCATAACTGGATTGATTACTGGAACCAGTTATGGAAATCCAAAGTTTTTTTATTCGGTATAAAGTTATCATTACATTGAGTACTCAGATTAAGGTAATCATTACCATTGTTTATATGTATGAGCAAGTAGACGAGTATTCATGTATTCAAAGTATTTAATGGTAAGGAAGCAGATGTTATGAGGATCAAACTCGATTATTATTAAAGAAGTTACCTGAGTGAAAACATGGGTCCAAACAATAGAACCCAAAGTATTTTCAAAATTCTGCAAAGTATCGTCTCGTCAAGCCCTACTTTTACTTTGAATTAGGTTTTGAAATATTTGTGATTAAGTTAGAGGATGCTCAAACCATATATGATTTTTTCCAATCTTTCAACTGAGTAATTTTCAATTGTAATTTATCTAATTATACTTTGTTGGTATAGTAAGTGTCTATAGTATATTTTGGATGTAACTCATATAACAATGTATTCATCAAAATCAAAACCAATGAAGCCGATTAAAGAAATCAAGGACTTTGTAATATGTTGTTTGTGTTGAGAAATGGTGATCAGTTTTCTGACGTATCTTGCAGTTACAGATATTTTGTTTTTGTGTTCTTTAATTTTAAAGTTTGGACCAGCCACTTTCTTCAACTTTAATTAAAAATCTATGAAACCATGTAAATCATTCTTACACGAAACTTTTCATTAATTTGAAATTTATATCGTCAACCTCAATTTACCAACTACAGTCCTCACTCAGCATGGACATAGTGGTGAATTTCTTTTTTATGGTAGTTGCTTAATTGAAGGTTGATAAGCAATTTTGCAACCATAAGTAAGAAATAATAAAAAATAAATTGTTGTAATTAGGCTAAGTTAATTAAGGCGCGGTGGTATAATATTTAAATTTAAAATCAAATATGGTTTTGAATAATCATGAAATTCTATTGGATTAATCTTGACGAATAAACTTTTGAAAAACTATAAATTATTATGATAAATTCGATAAGCTTTATATATATTTTTTTTGATTAACTATGATGTGTAGTGTTGACGATGAATGAATGGAAATAATGGAAATATTATAATTTTTCAAAAGATTAAAGTTCAGAAAATCTTGCTGAAATGAAATTCAATTTTATTTAAGTTTCAGTGGTAACTCTTAACATAGAGTCTTTACTAGACAGTTGATCCAATCTACGGAAGAATCAACTTCTTACAATACGGAAGTTGTTCAATACGGAAGAATGTTTTAGAAGTAGTGACGGATGTTTTACATTGTAATCTATATCCTACACTGTTTAGATTTTGTACCTTAAAGATATGTTTAGTGTACTAAAAATTATTATTACACAAAATCAGAAAAGTTTTTTCTTCTATTTATAGTTTACTTAAATTTAATTTATTTTCTTAACATCCTTACCATTATATCATCATAATTAATATATAAACTTAAATAAATTTCCAAAATTTAATTCAATTAGTTTTTACTATCCTGTCGTTTATCCTTTTCTTTTCACTTCAACTACAATTTACCATCTTCACAATTGCTAATATTATTCATACAAATCTAACATCATCAAATCTATACCTATTCAATTAATACACCTAACATCATCGAATATTAATCTCCAACTAACGGACAAACAAACAAATTAGAAACAAGCTACTTCCAAAATGATGTTCAATTGCTTTAGAGTAATACTAGTATTTTTTCTAGTTGCATGTTTAGTATTATCATGTTTTGCATTAACAGGATCATGGAAAAATGAAGAATATTTAACAGGAACATTTTTAATAAATTTTCATTTAAATAGATTAGATTTAAGACAAATTATAAATTCATCAATTGGTGGTAATAATAAATTTAAAAGAGAAGATAATTTTTTTAAATTTAATAAAAGAGAAGATACTGTACCAACAGGTACTACTACCACTGATAGTCCTATTCCATCAAATGCTCAAAATTGGATTAATGCAGCAACAAGTTTAATAAATGATCCAAATTTAGTATCACAATTTGATTCAGTTACTTCATCATTAGGTGTATCCGTTCCAACAAGTGTTCCAACAGATAATATAAATGGTTATTATACAACTATTTCTGCAGCAATAGCAGATTTATTAAATAATGTAACACCACAAGAATTAGGTATTGCAGATGTTTATTCAACAAGTTATTGGGGTTATTGTAGAGGATTTTTCCAAAATAATGGTACTTCACCAACTCAAGTATTTGATAATTCATTAGGTAGATTTATTGATGAAAATTTTGATAATTCAAATGTAAATTATACTTGGTGTTCTCCACCTACACCTGGTTTTTTCTTTGATCCTTTTGAAATTATTAAACTGGAATTAAATAATACTTTACAAGGAATATCATTAGATTCTCAATCCACGGTTATAAATCAATTATCTCAACAATATTTAAGTGAAATTGAAATTTTAATTAATAATTTAACTCCTGAAGATTTAAATTTACCAGGAAATTTACAAAATGATTTAAAATTATTAAATAATATAACAAAAGCTTCTTTTGCTTTACTTTTGGTAACTATTTGTTTATCATTTATTGCTATAGTTATTCAATTTATGGGATGTTGTTGTTCACCAAATAATTGTTGTTTATCAGTTTTAAATTTTATTTTCCAATTATTAATTTTTATCATAGCTATTATTAGTGCTGGTTTAGTTACAGGAGCATTTATATTTGTTAGAAGAAAAGTGAATGATGAAATTGGGGATTTTGGTATAAAATCATTTTTATCAATAAATTTTTATGCTTTTATTTGGTCAGCTTCAATGGCTGCTTTATTAGTTGTTATTTTCAGTTTATTAGGTCATTGTTGTGGAATGTTTGGTTCTGGTAGAAGAAAATATAGACAAGTTTCCGCTTATGAACATAAAGAACCAATGTAAAGAATTTAAGTGAATTTAAGCATTTCAAATATATTTCCAAACTAGTGCTGGTGTTTTTCAAAAATTGTTTGTTATTTTACATTTACAATATTATCTTAAAATTAATATTTATACATACGAGGTTTTCAATTCTTTTATTATATAGTTTACAAATTATTTAAAAATTCAATTTAATACAATTATGCAAGTTTATTAGCTTAATTTTATCTTTTAATGAGGTCTTTGAAGTTCCTTATTTGTAATATCAACTCACTTAACAATAATGTCATTTATCAAATAAATACGACTCAGTTTCAAACGTGACATTAACACAAAACTGACGTCAATTTAAATTTGTAAGTAGATTAACTATTATTATTTGAACTGTGAAAAACTACATTTGAAAAAGGGTTGATTCCCTGATTGGGCATTAGTTCGTCACCCTGTATATCTGACTTATCTCATCGCATACGTCGATAGCTCTCAATGGGAACGAACGAAGTGAGTATATATACGTTTCTTGACGATAGTACTACTTAAGTTAATTAACTTTCGTGATAATAATTTTTTTTCCTTTCTCTCTCAGGTTTTGACAACAACAAAAATTTCCAATTGATTAATTAAAAGATCTACACATTGATTTTCAAATTAAAATCAATTATACAAACACATAACAACTTTCATATCATTTCAATCAATCAAAAAGTACAAGAACCATAATTCACCTGTATTATATCCAAAAAACAATAGCAACACGATCAATTCTTCATTGTTTTTATCTTTCATATTATAGTCAACACGAAAAAATTCAATCCACATTAATAAAATATTTACAACCAAAAAAATGGACGATTTATATCCACTCGCTCTTTTAATGGATGAGCTAAAACATGATGATGTATCTAATAGAGTAGAAGCAATGCAAAAATTAGATACAATTGCTATTGCATTAGGACCAGAAAGAACTCGTAAAGAATTATTACCATTTTTAAATGATGTTGCTCAAGATGATGAAGAAGAAGTATTTGCAGTATTAGGTACAAAATTAGGAGATTTTATTCCATTAATTGGTGGACATGAATATTGTGAATCATTAATTAATATTTTAACTATATTAGCATCAATGGAAGAACCTTTAGTAAGAGATAAAGCAATAGAATCATTAAATAAAATAAGTAAAGAATTGAATTCAGAAGAAATAAATAAAATTTTTTTACAATTAATTACAAATTTAACTCAAGGTAATTGGTTTCTGAAAAAAATTGCATCTTGTGGTTTATATCAATCTGTTATAATAAGAGTTGATTCAAATATAAGAAAAGATTTATTAAAAATGTATTTAAAATTAGTTACTGATGATTATCCAATGGTTAGAAGATCTGCTGCAACAAATTTACCCAAAATTATAGATTTATTAACTGAATTTACAGAAAATTATCCAAATGATTTAAATAAAATAAATAATGAAGATTGGGAAATTATTTCAAAAATGTTTCAACATTTAATAAATGATGATCAAGATTCTGTTAAATTTTTAAGTATTGATGTTTTAATTTCAATATTAGAATTTTTTCAAAAAATTCATGAATATAGTTTTAATTCAGATTTTTTATCAAGTGCTTTAAAATTAATTAAAGATGATAGTTGGAGAGTTAGATATACAGCAGCTGATAGATTTAGTAAAATTGCTTGTAATTTCATTCATAATGAGCTGGACTTATTTCAATTAATTGATCCTTTTATTTCTTTAATGAAAGATCATGAAGGTGAAGTTAGAAAAGCAATTGCAAAACAATTACCTTCTTTTTGTAAATTATTAATTAATTTCCCATCAACAAAAGCAACAATATTAAATAAAATTATTCCAATTGTAAATGAATTAAGTCAAGATCCTCAAGAAAATGTAAGAAGTTCATTAGCTTCAACTATAACAGAATTATCTCCCATTTTAGAAAAACAATCAACTATAGATAAATTATTACCAATATTTTTAATAATGTTAAAAGATGAATTTCCTGATGTAAGATTAAATATTATTTCAAATTTATCTGTTGTAAATGAAACTATTGGTATAAATTTATTATCAACAAATTTATTACCTGCTATAACTGAATTAGCTCAAGATCATAAATGGAGAGTTAGATTAGCTATAATTGAATATATTCCAAAATTAGCAGATCAATTAGGTGTATCTTTCTTTAATAATGAATTATTATCATTATGTATGTCATGGTTATGGGATCCTGTTTTCGCAATAAGAGAAGCAGCAGTTGAAAATTTAAAAAATTTAACAATAATATTTGGATCAAATTGGGCAACAAAAGAAATTTTAATAAGATTATTAAATCAAGATGAAAAAATTGATGAAGATGATAAAATTGATTATTCAAATTTTATTATAAGAATTACTTGTTTATTTGCTATAACAAGTCTTATACCTGTAATAGATTATTCTATATTAGTTGAAAAAGTTTTACCATTTATGAATAATTTAATAACTGATTCAGTACCAAATATAAGATTTAATGTTGCAAAATCTTATTTAATATTAGTTGAATCATTAATAAAGAATAAAAATAGTACGAATGAAAATCAAAATTCAAATTCAAATCAAAATCAAATAGAAGAAGAAGAAGAATTAAAAAAATTAATAAATTTACAAATTTTATCAAATTTAGAAAAATTAGAAAGTGATGATGATATTGATGTTAGATTTTATTCAACTAAAAGTATACAAGGTATAAATGAAATTTTAGCATCATAAAAACATAATTATAGTCTGTTATAAATATAATATTCACATTTCATATCAAATGTCACAATTAATTAACGTATATTTTATTCCCTATTTCTATCCTGTTTTTCCTAAATCTCTAATCCTTTAAACTTCAACTCTTAGTATTCTGTTGTCTTTCCTTTTCTTCTAATTTTTCAAAATCAAAATCAAATGATGCTCCACAACCACAAGCAGTAGAAGTATAAGGACTATCAATAATTTTAAATTGTGAACCAATTAATTCTTTTGTATAATCTAATTTTGAATCTTGTAAAATATTTAAACTTGAATCATCTAATATTATTTTACCACCATTTCTTTCAAATATAAATATGTCATCACTACCTTCATTCTGTTTTAAAAAAGTATCTAAATTTATTAAATTTAAATTATATTGAAATCCATGACATCCTCCACTTTCTACTTGAATTTGTAATGCTGTATCTTTTGGATTTTCAATTTTTATTGAATTTAATTTTGAACTTGCTCTATCTGTAATTGCTATTACTTTATTTGTTTTGCCATGTATTAATTTTGTTTGTTTGAAGTCGTCAATATCTGTCTGTTGTTGTTGTTGTTGTGGTGGTGGTGAGGATTGTGACTTTGGTTGTGGTTGTGATTGTTGGGAAAGATCTGATTGTGGAAATGATGTAAATGAAGATGGTTTTAACGTTCTTGTACTTGATGAAGAATTGAATCTTATACTGCACGGGTTTATTATTCGAGTATTAGAGACTCTAGGTAGAATCCTCATACATTTTGTTGTGAGTCTTGTATATCTTGATATCATTTCAATGTCTATGGTTATCTGCTGAATAATCCAAATTGTGTTGCAAATAATTAATTCAATTTTCCTTTTCTGTCATTCATAAAAAAGAGAGAGAGGTCGTAAAATACGCGCGCGCAAAATATATACTATACCCATCCATATGATATTTTGATGTTTTTTGATTATTGATGAACCAACTTGGTTATAAGTAAAAATAAACTATAAACTATTTATTGATAATTATCGTCACTTACTCTCCAACTTTCTAATAATTTTAAATGTTTCCAATTTTCTTTTGCTCCTTCCATACCCCAAGATAAAAATCTAAAATAATAAAATGTAAAACCAATTAATGAATATAAAGATAAATATATTATAAAATTTAATATTTTACTTGTTTTTAATGATAATTTCCCCTTTAAAAATGATGTAAAGCTTTCAACTTCATAACAAAATACAATCATTGCAAAATATAATGCTGGTACATAATGATGTACATATGTTACTCTACCCATTATAACAAATGGCATAAAATGTAATCCCCAACCAAACATTGGATAAATTCCTCCCATTATAAATTGTTTTAATTTTAATTTATTTGTTGAAGGGAAATCAATATATTGTCTTTGCCATCTAATTAAATAATATAATGTTAAAAATGCAAAAAATATAACTCCAAAAGTTGAAGTCCATGTTGTTGCAGGTGAACCAATCATAAAATATTTTGGTTTATCTGGTCCCCAACCACACATTCTAATACCAACATTTAATGTAGGCCATTGCCAAAATGATGAAGCTAAATCATCTTGTTTATCTGGATCTGGCAACAAAGCATTATTTGTAGCCATCATTGCTAAATTTAATTGAATAAAATCTCTTATAAATTTTGTTTTGGGTAATTTAAAATCTTCTGGAGCTGGTGGTAAAATTTCATTTCTATTATTTTCTAAATTCCACCAAGTTCTTTTATCTTTTTTAAAAGGATTTTTAAAACATGCAACTTCTCCTTGTCTAAAACCCCATTGTGGTAATGTAGCACCAGTAACTCCTAAATAACAATTCATTACTTCATTTTTTAATCTAAATGAAGTAGTTAATGGATGTAATCTCATTTTATCTTCATTACTTGCTTGTTCTGCAATTTCAATAATCCAATTATCTTTATTATCACCTATAGTTAAATTTCCATAACATGCAACTTCTAACTCAGTTTTTGTTACGGGAGCTTGAATCTCATGTGTATGTAAATTTCTACCAGTTTGTGGATGCATTAATCTAACATGCATACCATCAAAAATATATTCAATATCAGTTTTATTACCTGAAGGATCATAAAATGGTTGACCTCTTGGTCTTTGAAATATCCAATTATTATTTGAATCTTTATGACCATATGTTGTAACTTGTTGTTGTTTTGAACCTTCTGGAAATTGTTGAACATGAGAATGTAAAAGCCCACCAGTTAATCCTTGGTTTTTTAAAGTTACAACTGAATGAACTATTGAAACTTCTCTTGGACCTCCACCAACATCTGAATTCATTAAATTAGCTTGAAATAAACTCGACATATTAGCATCTCCAGTACCTGATTTATATAATAAATCAAAATGAATTTTAAAACAAAGCATAAATATAGTAATTGGTATAATAATTAATCCAAGAATTCTTGCAATCCAGTGATAACCATATTTAACCCAAGATATAGATTTATCACCTAATTTATTCCATAAATCAACTACAGTATAAATACCAATTAAAGTAGTTACAAATAATCCAACCATTTTAACTGAACAAACACAACCAATAGAAACACCAGTTAAAAATAACCATTTCCACCATTTTCTACCAAATTCTTGTTCTTTATTATTAAAATTATTAAATCTTGCAAAACAAAATACTGTTGTTACAGTGAAAAACAACAACATTGAATCTAATAAAATAAATTTACCTAGGGTAACATAAGAACTTTCTAAAGTTACCATTAAAGTAAATAACCATGTAGTCCATATACTAAAACCAATTTCTTTCATTGTATAATAAGCAAAAGGAACACATAAAGCTGAGAAAGTTGCATTAAATAATCTCATTTTTGTATAATCAATATAATCAGGAAATTGTTCACCACTTGGAAAATCCCATGATCCATTATAACCAGCAATATAACCAGATAAACCAACTAACATTTTACCTAAAGGAGGATGAACATCATGATAAAATTCATGTCTTAAATAATATGAACCAAATTTACCAAAATGTGCTTCATCCCAAACAACATTATTATTTATTGATATACGATAAAATCTAACAAAGAATGATAATAATGTAAATAAAATTGGTGCTAATATAGATTCTAATTTTTTCCATGATTCAATTGTTTCTTTATTTTCTTCAAATTCATTTCTTTTTAATTGATCTAAATCTTCATCTATTTCAGTTGACTTTATTTCATATTTTGATTCAATTGGAGTGTTTTTTGATTTTTTCACTTTTAATTTGACATCAGTCTCATGATATTGAGCTGAAGATGACATAATAGTATGTGAATCTAAGTTCCCAGAGCAAAAATTACTTTGAAATTGGAATAGAATTAAAGATCCAAATTGAATATTATTAATTTTTGTTCAGATTGAAAAATTATTTTAATTAAAAAAATAAAAATAAAAAATATTCAGACACGTCAGTTAAAATTTACGAATTTTTACAATAAATGTATTCAAAGTGAGGTTGTGAATGTTATTGTGTTATCACTTGTTACCAATAGTAATTAAGAAGATTGCAACGTTGTTTCTACAAACTTGGTTCCCTTTCTTTGTAACTATTGCGATAAATCCTTCACATTTCAATTTTTAGTTTCAAGAAAATTAATTAAACAATGGTAACCCGAGATTTCGATATTTTGGTAGCTTAAAACACCGCGTTCTAGGTAGATCTAACTCTACTTGAAAGGGTCTATACAATAAAATTAAAGTAGTTATTTACTTTCTACTTTGATCCAACAATTCCCAATTACTTCTTTTTTAAATATTATATATTGATATTGAAAACCTATAAAAAACTAAATATTGATTCTTTTCTTTTTTCATTGAAAAACTAATAAGTAATCTCACAATTTATTGGCTAGTTATTTTGAAACTTTAGCAACATGTTCTAATAAATCAACAACTCTGGTTGAATAACCAAATTCATTATCATACCATGAAACTAATTTAACAAAAGTTGGTGATAATAAAATACCAGCTTTTTGATCAAAAATTGAAGAATATGATGAACCTAAGAAATCAGTTGAAACAACTGCATCTTCAGTATATCCAACAATTCCTTTCAATTCACCTTCTGAAGCGGCTTTAATAGCTTTTGAAATTTCTTCATATGAAGTTGGTTTTTTTAATCTAACAGTTAAATCAACAACTGAAACATCAACAGTTGGAACTCTTAATGACATACCAGTTAATTTACCATTTAATTCTGGAATAACTTTACCAACAGCTTTAGCAGCACCAGTTGATGATGGAATAATATTACCTGAAGCAGTTCTACCACCTCTCCAATCTTTATGTGATGGACCATCAACAGTTTTTTGAGTAGCAGTCATTGAATGAACAGTTGTCATTAAACCTTCTTCAATACCAAAGTTATCATTAACAATTTTAGCTAATGGAGCTAAACAATTAGTAGTACATGAAGCATTTGAAATAATATCTAAATCTGGAGTATATTTATCTTCATTAACACCAACAACAAACATTGGAGCATCTGATGATGGAGCAGTAATAATAACTTTTTTAGCACCACCTTCAATATGTTTTTTAGCACCTTCAATTGTAGTGAAAACACCAGTTGATTCAATTACATATTCAACACCTGATTTTCCCCATGGAATTTCAGCTGGATCTTTATATTGGAAAACTTTAATTTTATGACCATCAATGATTAAATTATCACCTTCAGCTTTAACATCACCTTGATAAGCACCATGAGTAGAATCATATTTAAACATATAAGCAGCATAATCTGGAGCAATGAATGGATCATTGATAGCAACAACATCAATATCTTTTCTTTGTAATGCAACTCTTAAGACTAAACGTCCAATTCTACCGAAACCGTTAATACCAATTTTAATAGCCATTTTGTTGTTATTTGTTTGTATAAATCAATTGAGTTCAAATGAAGTGAAATTTCAATTTTTATAAAAAGTTGAAGTCAATTCCTAAAAAATTTGGTTTATGTGAAAAATAAGGGAGTTTAAATATTTATAAAAAAAAAAAAGTCAACAAATTTATTTGGTGATATATTATTTATTTAATTGAAAATTACGTATTAAATCAATAATTAGTTATAATATGTATAATAATACAATTATAATACTTAATAATACACTAACTACTAGACTTAAACTTTAATAGTTTTCTATTGGAAGTTTGCTTTTTGTAGTTGGTACACTACGCTGAAATTTTAATGAAGTTCCCGGGTCAAAGTCCTGCGGAAATCATTTTTTTCATCTGAAATATGGAGAAACTATGACTATTTTAATTGAAAGTCCGAAAAACACATGACTTTGGGTACAACTCAACTGAAGATGCTTATACATCAGTTGATATATATAAAACTATTTGTAATCAACACCGAACTCTATTAAAGAGGTCTTGAAACATAGACCAACCAACGGGAATTAATAGTCCATAATTACGGTATTAAATATTTTTCAAAATGGGTTTCAGATTAGTAGTGCACGTTTCATAATTGAATTTTCAAAAGTATGATCAAATTATAAATTAATTGTTTCAGTCTTCATCTTCATTAAAGACAAATAAACTACATCAATTGCTCTGTTTAAAACTGGTTTAGAATGTAATAACCATAGAAAAACTTTAAATTTACGAGTATAGCCTTTACATATTTATTGTGTAGGACTTGTCTGATCCACTTTCGAATTTTCACCATTGTGCAGGATAATTGAAAATATTATACTTTTCCAGTTGTCAGATATTGAAACTAGCCTATGAAACTTCCTGTCAAAGACTTTACGGAATTTGTTGTGTTTCACTTTACAAACAGATGAGTTATTTGGAAAATGTTCAACATTCCTGTGTAGAGCATTAAGTTGCTTTGTTCGATATATAGAGCAAAGATAAGATCTAATTATAAATACGAAATATATTGCAATCAAATTCTTTCGTTTCAACTTTTTCAAGACAGCTAATCAATAATCCGTTATGTCATATAGGTTAGTTACCCTTAATTCAGGTAACAAAATACCTAGCATTGGATTAGGAACATATAACATTCCAGGATCTAAAACAACTCAAATTGTTTATGAAGCATTAAAAGTTGGTTATAAATCATTTGATACTGCAGTTTTATATGGAAATGAAGAAGAAGTTATAGCAGGAATTTCACAATTTTTAAAAGATAATAAAGATGTAAAAAGATCAGATATATTTTATACAACAAAATTATGGAATAATCAAGTTGGTAAAAATGAAACAACAAAAGCAATAAATAAAATGATGGAACAAATTGGAGATTTAGAATATATTGATATGTTATTAATTCATTCTCCATTACCTGGTAAACAAAGAAGATTAGATGCTTGGAAAATAATGCAAGAAGCAGTTGCTCAAGGTAAAATAAAAAATATTGGAGTTTCAAATTATGGTCCTCAACATATTGAAGAATTATTAAATTGGTCAGAATTAAAAATTCCTCCAGCAGTAAATCAAATTGAAATAAGTCCTTGGTGTATGAGAGATGAAATTGCTAATTGGTGTTTAAATAAAAATATTCAAGTTGAAGCTTATGCTCCATTAACTCATGGTCAAAGATTACAAAAACAAGAACCTGAATTTGCTCAGATTATGAAAAAATATAATAAAACTGCTGCTCAAATATTAATTAAATGGTCTTTACAAAAAGGTTATATACCATTACCTAAAACAGCAACCCCATCAAGATTAAAAGAAAATCTTGAAGTTAATGATTTTGAATTAACACCTGAAGAAATTAATATTATAAGTCAAGAAGATGTTCATGATCCAACTGATTGGGAAACTTTTGATGCACCATAAGAAGGTTTTTCTCTTTTTTTCATTTGGAATATCTAGTTTTTTTTTTTTTGAATATAATTTATAGATTAAATGTTGGGAAACAAATGTTGATTACAAGTGTTGAATACAGCTGTTCAAATCGATCATTTTCTATGCACTCAAGGGTATATTAAAAATCCTTTTATTTTAATTGTGAAATGGATCGACGTATCATTTCATTTTCCAATAATTTGGACGACAGCACTTAAATTTCGTCTGGATGGTTTTATCTCAACAACGATAATATTAACACTTCTTGCGTAATAAAGTAGTTGAATAGTTGATACTATCAATCAACGAAAACAAAGCTTTGCCAAATGTAACAGTTCTTTATTTGGAAGAGCTTTGTTTTTGTTGATCTATTTCAACTATCTACTTCCAACAATTCATTCAACAAGTAATGTTAGAATCAATGTAGGCCTCCACTTTGATTCTTTCTGTTTCGAAAGTGTAAAATGACGAATCGAAATAAAGTTTTGAAGTTGCAAAAAGAAAAATTAAATTTTCGAAAACACATGTTTCAGGAGAAAATAAATTTGGTTCTATTTTATTGGAGTAATTTAATTATATGAAGCATATGAAAATCAATTGCTTTCATCAGATCAAATAAGTTTAATTAGCAGAGTTCAAAACTGGAGCTCTAATCAATTGTAAGATAACCTCGTGTTTAAGTTATCTCCGGTGAAAATTACATAAATTATCAAATTTAATGATTAGATGTTGTAATTTTGCATCTCATGAAAAGCGTCTGAAACAATCGGGTCTTAATCAGATTTAATCTATAGAGGAGAATGTTATATAACAAGGTTTGAACATGCGATGTGGCAATTTGTGTTAATAATATTAGTGAAATTTGTGCATTAAGTCGGTAATATCTTGTTGTTTCAAACCGAGACTTTTTGTGGGATAGCTACCATATTTAGAAGACAAATAAGCAAACACAGTTTAATAAAATATAAAAGAATAAATAAATAATTAGTTTTAAATCGTTTTATAGAAATCAACGAATTCTTACTCGTTCAACTCAGTTTGTGTAGTATTTTGCTATAACTATACAACACTTTTATAAAGACAAATTAAAAATTATGATATTAACATACATGTTAATAGATCTTATGATTAATAAACATTTAGATAATTCCAGTCTTATATTCTTGTACAATTTGTACTTTTCTTCCAAACTAATTAATCGCTCAAATTATTCAATATGTACAATGTAGTGAGATATTTATTAAGTTAGGTAATATGATATTTTGTAGTTGTAGATTAGATTAGATCGACAAGAAAATCATGCAGTCTTATTAAAAAATTATGATACAAATTTATATATATTACATTTAGTAAACTATTATAGTACTAGACTTAAAAAACCTACAAACTCTCTTCAAAACAGGATTATTGTATCTACATTATCAATTTCAACATTCCTCTAAAATTAACTCTTGGGCTCAATATTTAAAACGAATGTGCGTTGAGAAAATTACCTATCTTTTGATTAGACTGTTTTACATATCAGGTTGTTTATTACTTTTAAAGTAATGCATATAGATCTAGATTTCTTTGACTTCAGATCTGAAAACGTACAAATTTATAACAATTTTTGGATGCAAAAAATCAAAATTTTCGTTTCGTTATAATTAGGGGATTCGAAAAATTGTTTTTTGGATCTGTACTTATTTCATAGCTTACTTATCTTTAAAGAATTAAGTCAGGATTCAAATTATTTCCTATACAGCCCATTTTGCTTTGTACATCTTTTGTTTGATAACCGTTATCAAAATTAACTGTTTTAAACGTGTTACATCCTCCTTTTTCTAGCCATGACAAAAACTAAAGACGTTTGAAAACAAATATTGAATTGCTAAACATTTTCGTTCTAATTCACAACAGTGTATGTACTAAGCCATTTTACTTTAATCATATTTAAAATAATTTGAAATTTACAAGGTAGTGGTTAATTAGAGGACTCTTTACGTCAACAACATACTCATAAAATTGTTAAATTGGGAGAGAAATTTCATCTAAATTAGGGGTGGTTATAAGTCTGTTTTGAAAATAAAAAAAAATTGATGTTACACAAAAAAATGTCAATAAAACAATAAAACGTTTTTGAAATTCGTAAACTATGCTAAAATTAGATTCAAGTTGAGGGCCAATTGGTCTGTCTTGCATGTATATTGTTTGTGAAGCTTATAAGGAGAACACATGTTTAACCTTTGATGGCTTTCAAGGTCATTCCAAGCATGCGCCTTACAAAATACACATTCAGTTAACAGCTTGTGAATTTGAGAATTTTGTAAAACCAATTTAAAATTTACGATTAAAAAATTTTCCAAGAATTATCTACCCAACAATTTGAGTTTTTCCGAAAAGCTGTCACGTCATAAACCTTAAGTTATATTTATTGACTAGTTATGTTGTGCTAGATTTCAAAAGAATTCAAAAGTATTCCTTTAACAAAATTGCTTGGGCTTTTGCAGATTAAAATTCATTTCGTAAAAAAGTTTAATAATCATGAAACTGCATAAGCGGCTATAGCAAATGAACAAATAATAAATAAAAAAAGAATAATAGAAAAGCCCCATAAGCGAAAAGCAATATTTGTTATTTTTATAGTGTTATGATATTTCATTTTTAAATTAAATTAGGTATATCTTAATAATCAATTCGAGTTTTAATAGCAACGTCTTCGGTGCGAATGTCTAAATTGTCAACTAAAGATTTTACTTCGACTTCAATTTTGTGAAATGTGTAATGTTTGTATACTAAGGCAACGTAAAGATTATCTACCAGTAATTGGTGACGAATTGATCCTATTCTTGCATTATTTCCACAAATTTGTGGATCATTAACATTTCATATGATAATTTGAAGTGAACAAAAAAAGAATCGATTATTCTGTTTACAAAATTCAACAAGTGATATATGCTCGTAATTTTAGCAAATGTTTAAACTTAAAAAGTGATTGCTCTGTAAGACTAAAAACAAAAGTTTAGTAAAAATATTCGAGAATAAATGTTTAGCAAAATTGAATTGTTTCACTAAAACTAATTTCGGATTTACTCAATTAGATTAGATATAGCTTTATTGAATTTAAAATTATGACAAGAAAAATATTTCTTTAATTTTGGTCCATAAGAACATAGTGGTTATATAACCACACATAACACGAACAGAACAACATAGTGTGTTCAGTTCCAAGAAATACAAAAGATTTGCAAAATATGAACCCCGTTTTTATTATCATTGATTCATTTGAGTGATTTATAAGATCAAAAAAGGATGGATGAGATAATTAAACTTTATCGGTACGCTCGTAATTGTAGACTCTTAAACATATGATTTTATAAGATTATTCATTCTGCTTATATAATATCCCTAATCTTAATATGTTACAATAACTCCATCATTTAAAAAAATAAAAACACAACGCTCATACTGCGCAAACTGTTATCTTTAATTCTATATCAATCCTTAATTTTAATATTCTTTTACAAAATCGGAAAATCTCAACATTGACTAAGATTACAAACCACACAATTGAAAACCCTAATCAGGTAGAGCTTGCTATATAGTCAAGAAAAGTTTAACAAATTTGGTTGGGCTTTAGAATCATTTAAATTGATTGAACTCTTAATCAATTCTTTGTCATAAAAAGAAAAGTCTAGGCTTTTACTAAATCACGGGAACAAAAATCTTCACACAAAAAAGAAAAAAAAATTTATAGCCGTTTTAAAGCAATTTTCCCTTACTTAAATATTAAGTGTGAAACAATCTTATTTGTCTCAAAATATTGCAAAATTGAATCAGTGCTCAAACACTATCTTGCTTAATACAATACAAAACTCGGTGGTCGCATTGTATTACCACATTATTTTACTAAGAAATAATTTCGAATGACCTTTGAATCGAGTTCAATCAATTATTATTAATAATTATTAGTTTTATTATCTATATTCATAAAAAGCGTAAACACATAAGTTATTTAAAATTATATACCTCATAAATTAATTAGAATTGAAAATTTGAAAAACATAACTCAAAAAATTCTCAAAATATATTTTGAATTGAAAAAAAAAATTGGTTGAACCTCTTGCAACAACCTAAAAAATCTAGCATTTCTCTAAAATCTTTCCATAAATGAACCATTATTAATAAATGGATCATATCCACCAACTAATACATCAAAATTACTATTTGTATTATTTAAAGGAAATTCATTATTCAAATTTGATTTTAATTCTTCATTATTATTATAATTTTCCATCGAATATTGATTGATGGGTCCATTATTTAATAATATAGATTGATCATCATTTTCAAATTGATTTAATACATTGAAATCCGTAGTAGTAGTTGTAGTTGATACTTCATTCATAGGCCCAGCTAATGATGTATTATTATTATTATCATTATTATTTAAAGATAATAATTCTTCATTACTATTATGTCTTTTCTTAAATTCCATTGAATTTATTCTATTATGACTTATATGAGGTGGTTTATGAATATGATGATCATTATGATTATTATTTAAATTTTTTAATGCTTTTAATTGACCATGAGATAATGAAGTTGAAGACGATCTACGTATTGCTGATAAAGATTTTGGACTATAAGTGAAAGTTGATAAAGGTGGAGAATTAGTTGTATTTGTTGAATTTGGTGGTTGTTGTTGATTTGAGATTGAATAATTTTCATATCTATTACTTAATGAAGTCATTGATGAATTTTTACTGATAGAAGTACCACCATTGTTTGAAAATAATGAAACAGCAGTTGGAACATGACCTAAAGATCCATGAAATTGATGAGAATCTTGTGATTCAAGTATAAAAGGTGGTGATATTGAATCTGGATTTCTATTTGATGTATCACTTTCAGCATCTGATGATATAATTTCATTTGAATTAGATGGATATATTCCACTATTTGATCTTTGTAAATTATTAAAAGGAACACTATTAAAATTATTTAAAAAACTTGATTGATCAATTGGTGATATTGATTCTTCTTTAATTTTTTTAACTTTTGTTGAATTTGAAGAAGAATTTGAAAAATCTAATTTTAAATTTGTTGAAATATTGTTGTTATTTAAATTTTCAATTTTATGATTTGCAAATAATTTTGAAGAATTTGATTTATTTTTATTATTATATCTTGAAGCAATTATTGCACCTTCTTCCCATTCAACTGGTAAATTATTCAATAAACCTTTTTCGTCAATTAAATATCCAACAACTTTATTTATAGGAATAACATCATAATTTTTAACTTCATCTTCACCAGAAGAATCTTCATCATCTTCAAATGGTATTTGTTGATCTTTAATAATATTATCAATAACTGGTAAATAAGGTCTTGATAATTCAATTAATTTTTCAAACAGTTTACTTAATATATCTAATCTTGTTTCTAATAATTCAATATAACCTTGAGGATGAGTTTTTTCTTTCATTTTTTTCTTTTCAGTGAAAACACAAATTTTATTATCAATTAAACAACGATTACATGGTTTTTTACCATCACATTTTGTTTTTTTAATTCTACATGAATCACAAGCTTTTCCAACTCTTTTCTTCTTTATATGACATGATGATGATGAAGATGTTATTGAGGATGTAGATGAAGATCCATTTGATACATTATTATGTGATTGATCATCAGAATGCATTATTAATAACTTTCTTCTTTTATTTTTTTTTCTGTGTGTCAAAGTTAAATCCGAAATTGATTCTATTCGGGTCTAAAATTTATTTTATGCTTTGTAATAATAATAATTATTGAATAGTTAAGTATAACCCAACGGGGGAATTCAAATTTAAGTTAAACCAATGATATGAAAAAACTTGTTTGAATTTGAACCAATATATATATTTTAGAAAATAAAGAACTCCAGGTTTTTATGTTTCAGTATTAGTGGTTCTTATATATTATTTTATTGTTTTATAATTTGTTAAGTGGAAAAAAAAAAAAAAGTATGATGACGGACTTTAAAATTTTTTTATTTTTTATTTTGTTTTAACTCGGTAATAAAAACATATAATGTGAATATATATCTAGTATACAAAACTATGCAACATGTACAGATCTTTATAGTGTATTTAATAACCTCACTATACTAAGTAAATTGATCGATTTGTATTCAATTAGACCTGAAAGATTAACTAGATGTTGAGTCAAATTAAATAACACTTATTTTTTAATACAAGGAAGTTGAAATATTTGAATTCTTTTCTTGAACTTTTTAATTTTAAAGATGACGTTGATGAAAATTTTGTAATTTATAAATCTTTGAATAAATAGATTCCTCGAAACTAAATACCTTATGTGAAAATTTATTTCAACTTTATCAAAAGAATCTGAGTGGATTTATTCGCTTTTTATAAAGATTTATGAATACCAGTAAATTACTAGATTCATATGAGACTAGAATATTAAAACGTTCTATAAGTTTTAAATTTTCAATATGCGCATTATTCAATTAATAAGCTGTTAATTGAAAAACACCTAAAACCTTATTTTAAAGAAAAATTATCAAATAATTACTAATAACTAATATTGTGCATAATTAACAATTTGAATATTTGTGTTGTTTATAATTTCTTGTTTCTTATAATTACTTATTTTCAAAGTTTTATTAGTATATACTTAGTTCTAATTAGAATAAATTTAGTCGTTTTTTTCCTTCTATTCATGTACTCAAAGCAATTTATGTATACAAGAAATCAATAATTGTAATTTTTACTAAAAATACTTAGTTCTTTAATCAAGCTATCAATTAAGTAATTGTACTTTATATTTATGGTTAGTTCTTTTTGAATTTTTTTAAGTGGTAATAAATAAAAAATATTTCAAAACTTTAGTAATAACACAAAATCTGGTATTTCTAACAACAGATAAATTTAAACTTTTCAAAGAACCATCTTGAAAGATTAAAATTTGTTCTGTTTACGTTTCAAAACGGCTAGACAAGATTGCGAACCACTACATTTAGATCAAAAATTTGTATAAATACTTTTCATACACTTTTTTTTTCAAAATCAGAAACAAATATTTGAATGATAAGAACTACAATTTTCGGTTATAAACTTTTTTATCTTATCTATGTTTTATGCTGACCAAACAAAATCTAAATTCTAATATTCAGGTTCATATGTAATAAGTACGTTTTTAGACAATCTTGAGATAGAACCACTTTAGATTAGATTCTTGATAAGATTATAAGAATAATAAGTTTTGTCTAGAATATTTGAGAATAGTTTCGTTTTGGTTATTGTTTTAAGTATTTCCACATTTAGAAGGTGTTTTTACAATGCACATAAAGTTTTTCTTTTTTTTGAAAGGTTATTTTATAAAGTAATATCAATTTATTACTCGCCTTAGGCACTTAACGAACATTTGATATTAAATTTAATACATAATTGCAGAAAATCTAACCATTAGTGTAATTGATGCGACACACAGTTTAAAAGTAATTATGATTTTAGAATTGAACACATTTAACGAAGCTAAAGTGTGTACTCACTGACAAATTTAATTGAGAATTCAACACGATAAAATTAGTAGCTTTTGATTTTCAAAAGTATCTGTAATTGGTTCTAATGAAAGTCTTCGAGATTTTTTTATTGGTTTTGATTTCTTATTTAACAAAATTAATTTTCAATCTTGTACGATTCTGCTGGACTATATTTGATCAACAATTAAGAGGATTTGTTTTGAAATATTTTCAAGTTCAAACAAACAAAAATACTTCAAAATCATTAATCACAAAATCATAATATCTTAGGTTCCTTGTTGCATATATAATATTTTTCTACTATTGTTTGAAATTAAAAATCAAATTTATCAAACGATAATCTTGTTTCAAATAAATACCACTAGAGTAAAGTAAGAGAAATCAAGGACTGGTGAAAATATGTCAATTGTTGTGTTAATCAATTATTTACATGTTGTTGTATAATACTACTACACAACCAAGTGAACGAATATAAAATCTACTAACTCTTTATAGAACGATACAATTTAATTAATTTACTTTATTTTTATATTTATGAATTCTGTGGTAGTTAATTATAACTGAAATATGGTAGCTATCCCACACATGTTTCAATTTTCAGTGAAAGATGATTGAAATTCACTTGGAAATTTCCAGTAAAAATGTACATCCCACGCAAAGTTTGCATCCTATTGTCGAATAATAGGAAAATAAACTCACTTGAGTATAACAAGAATAATATACTTAAACATGACCACTCAAGCATAGATTGAACAGTATTTGTCTTAAATCCATAGTGGGGTTACTTCAATTGCTTGTATTCAAAAAGATCTTTCATAAACTTTAATTTTGTGTATCTGTTTGTGTCCTGTTTTGATTTTGTGTCAGCATTCTCTCATGAAACAAGTACTGTTGACCCATAAAGGAAGTAGCCACATGAAAAACGGTATTACTGAACAACCGCCTTGACCTTGCTTTTTGATACAAAAGAGTATGACCATTCTAATCTAGTTGAAGGACTATTACAACTTAACAGCTTTTAGCGTTAGTTGGATCCGGCTCGCTAAATTCTTTATTTCATTTCTTTTTTTTCTTTTCGGGGTTTATTGTATAACATCAAGCTATTTTGTCAAAATTCAATTGAAATCAAAATCTAGTAGTTAAAACCACCGTTGCTGGCCAACAGCTGTTTACCAAAATGCCTAAAATACTAAAAGTAAATCTATTTTGGGAAATCTTTATTCTTTTACCCAATTTAGAGAGACAACTTCCTAATTCAATACTTAAAAGAGGAAATATATGCTGCTATATTTTTCGGATAAGAATTGAACTAGCTTTGTGTATGAGGATTTAACAATAAAACTTATTGTAAAAACGAATTTATATCTCTTAGGCTAAAATTCAAAAGTTATTTTCATAATTTGATTGTAAAGTATTTGATTAACTCATTCATGTTTATAAAATTAATATTGATCGAAATGTACAGCGGGTAAAATGAAACTTATTGATAATTATCTGATAGTTTATATTCTCAAACTTGTTTCAATCAATATCAATTGAACCAAGAACCGACAATACATTGACTAAACCCTTTTTTTATTTTTTTGGTGCCTCTTGTTTTCTGCATAATAAGTAATTACAATACTACTAAAATTTTTAATAAACAATTGTACTTTATTAATCCGTTTTTTGTATTGTTAGGTTGTCAATTAACACTTAGAAGATTTAAGTAATGATGTAACTTAATTTTTCTATAAATAGTTAATTTGTTTATGTTTTGAATTTAGTTTTGTCCCTTTTACTACATTTTAGGTAGAAAATATAACAAATGATAAAAATTTAATAAAAAAATTGCTTTCCTTTCAGCTAATTTTAATTTTATATTAACGGTATATATTTGTTGGGGGGTAATTTATTTTAAAAATGCGAATAATGTTAAATTTTTTTGATCCATGTTTCATTTTTTATTATGTAGGTACGGGTGTAATTTTGTAAAGTATATTACACACTGACATACTTTATAACTTTAATTTATAAAGCACACAAAATAGAATTTAATTTTGACCTGATTATCAAAGCATTAATAATTAATCTTGCAATTGATCTTACAAGTATTTATGGCTGGTTTTGGAAATGTATTTACTTCAAGAGGTTATTTTAACCGATATTTTGTTATGTATACATGCTTTGTTTTTTTCAAAAATAGTAGGAGTCTTTGTTCGAAAAGTTAGCATTTCAATAAACTGATTTCTGAGGCGTTTTTATCTTGCAAAACAGGTCTCCATGGAATACTTCAAAGGTGTGAGGGATGCTAAAAGAACGGAATTTGTACATCCTATTTTAGCAAAATTTACGTAATCGTTGATACCGATAATTAAAAGTTACACCTTTCAACTGATTTCAACTTGAAACATTCAATTAAAAATTGATCCAGCTAAAGACCTCGTCAAACTGGAAGTGGTGGTGCTGGCAACTTGATTCTAAGTGGATTAAGAACGTAAGAAATGTTATTCATAAAATTATATCAACTACCTTTTATTCAACTTCACTCATGTATTATGCAATTTTGTTTATTTTTCTATTAACACTTCTTTATAGCCGACTACAAGCACTTTCTTAACATACTTGTTTTTGCTTGTTCTCTCTCATTGCTAGTCTTGCAAAATCTACATGTTTTAGAATCTTGAAGTAGGACACAAAAATGAAATATATCATTTACCCCTAAACTGACTACCAAATACTTTTAAAAACACACAATTTTTGATCATAACAATCAACTACTTCAAAAATATCTAGTTTTATTCCAAAAGCAAGTAAAATTATTCAAGCGTTAAGTCCTAAAAACTCAATCAAAGCTTGGAATTAAAGCAAGATCTAAATTTTTTGTGCATGATAAAATTAAGAGGTTATTCAATTTTATAAAAGGTATAACCTATCAAAATCAAAAACAATTAGTTCATTAGTATAGAAATTATCAACAAAAAGATAACAAGCATTTTCAAACCTTTTTTATCAGAATATAGGGATAAATAGTTCTAGAAATGTAAGAACGATACTAAAATCCAATTGTATATCAATTAAGAAATTTAACATTTAGGGAGTTAAGATATATCATGATTTTCAAATTAATATATACCGGAATTTGATTAATTAAACTTTTTAAATTAGTAAATATG